AAGATCTAAAAAATGCAAACTCTCTATAATATTCTACTATTTAAGAAGCATTTCAATTGATTTTAAGATTGGGTGGAATTTATTATAGTAATAGTATAAGCATATTTAAAACTCCAAAAATAGGAAAGTCTCCTGGAATAGTTTCTAAAGATATTGTGTAATCATCATTTTTAATTATTTTAGAACAGAAATGAATATCCAGAATTAATAATTAATAATGATAATATAAGATTTATGAACTCAAATTACTGGCAAAGAATATTGTAAGACAATACATTTATTATAAACGAAGATAATGAAAGATTGTTTATACTAATTAAAATATAAAATAAAATTATCATAAAAATTTCAGAAATATCCTCAAAACGATTTTTATTAAATGAATTAAGTGTAAAGTAAAATAGAAGCAAAATGATTGAGGCCGCTAGCTAGTTATAGGTTTTAAATTAGAAAAACTTATTTAGAACTTAGAATTTTCATTTTATTATCAACTAAGATTGTCATAGTTGAAATTAGAACTGATCGCAAAATAATAAATCAAGTCAAATGGATAGAGCAAAGGAGATGCAAATGAAGACATAAAATTATTAAAACTCCAATAGATTCAAATGTGTTACAAATTTCCATTTAATTAATTGAAAAAACAATAAGAGCAAAATGAATATGAAGAGTTAAATTAAAAGAATAGCGTTACTTTCTATAGATTTTCATTTGGACAATAACTCATAAGCTGCATCACTCAATAAGCTTCATACGAGAGTTGGAGGAGTCACCAAATAATTGAAGATAAAAATATTTAAGAATTAATAATAATAATAACCGAATTTTAGTGATTCAAAAAAAAAAATCAATTTCTAAAATGAATGGAAAAATCGTAAATAAAATAAAATAAAATTATACAGTAATAGATAATATATAATTAGTTAACAAATGTGAGGAATAGAAACAATTCGCCTAAATGCAGAATCTAGAATAAATAACTAAATGATTAAAATTCGATGGATAATTTAGATGTAAAGAAACTGAAGTCTAAGTCTAGTGTTTAAAGTAAGTTATTCTTAACGGCAATATTTATATTTCTATTTATTTTTTATTCCGTGTAATTTATTGAATAATATAATATTAAAAGAAATTTAATCAATTAAATAAGTAGAATATTTAGTTTGATAGACACTATTTGAGTAATCATGAAATTATATATAATATTTCAGAGTAATTATTTCAAATTGTGAGAATTTATGTTACATGTTAAAATTAAATATATCCTTCAATTAGGCTAAATTCCCATCAGTTTTCATATTCTCTCAATCGGAATTTCTTATTTTAAACTTATCTATTTTTCCATAAATTAATAATCTAGGATTATCATCAAATTAGATCAAGTGATATAACTAATTTACATTTTCAACATTTAAGCCAGCTTAAATGATCTTCAATATAATAGTAATTTGTTTGTGAAATATATTTTACATTAGTCCTAAAGATTTTTGTTTATTTTCCTTGAATTATTCCTCTTTTATCTTTATAAACCATAGATAAATTGTCCATCTCAGAATTCATTGCTAAAATTAACTTTATAAAGCATTATTGTACTCACTTACATTTTTTCTATTTCTGATTAATTGATCATTCTTTCTGAATACTACTAATATGTATTTTTAGATTAAGTTGTTATTTTAATGATCACATATAATTGATTACTCTTATAATATTTGTTAATAACATGACTTTGACTACCTACATTAACTAAAAGTCTTACCTTATATCTTGAACTAGTTTAATAATTTATCTTTATGAAAAAATGAAATATACCATTATTGAGATTTATTTATTTGAAGTTAACGAATAGATATGTAAATCCATAGGGTTTCATGATATTAATATTTTTTAGTTGCCATAAAAATTAAAATTATTAAATGTCTCACGAAAAAAGAACATCAGCAGACTTTTTTAAGTAGGTATTTGGAAGAACAGTGAATGTGAAATTACATAATAGAACAGAATATATTGGAGTTTTGGCTGCATTAGATGGAAATATGAATCTTGTATTGGAATAATGGTAATTTGTAGGATGATTAAAATATAGTGAAGAATATTTGGAACAGAAGTTAATCAACAAATATGGATAAATATTATTGAGAGGAAATAATGTGCTTTACATTAGTGCTAAATTTAATCAAAAATAATAACAGGAGGAAGAAGTTTGATTTATTGTATATTATTTTTATTTTATATGGATTAAGAAATAAACCATTTCAATTTGCCTGATATTAGAGATAAAGATGATTCTGATGATCAAGAAGATTATAATCCATTTATCTATCATCATTAATAAGAAGGATATCATTCATTTGAAAAAATATTTTAGAATCATTTTGATGTTGTAAATAACAGATGGATCACAATTCCAAGAACTAAAATCTATTTACTCAGATCAGCTATGCATAAATTGAAAAAATGGTTGCTTTATTTAAGGCAGGAGCATAACATGATTTAATCTATTGTTAAATAAAATGATGATCTCAAGACTCAACTAAAAAGGAACCAAGAATAAAATGCTAATCATTATCTTGTTGAATAACAGAGGACAAATCAAGTATTCTAAATAAATTATTACTAAGTTTTATGAGGAAATTAGGAAATTGAGATAGGAGTTAAAAGATAAAGTTATGTAAATGAATGATTAAATCTAATAACTTAAAGATACAATAGCTGAAAAGGATAAAAAGATTTAAAGATAAGAATTAACAATACAAAGATTAAATGAAGTGAGCAATGGGTATGAAAATCAAAACAAAAATTTGCAGCAACAAATAAACAACCTCTAGAGAGATTTTACATATTTTAACAATATAAAGAGGTAAGGCTTCATTGATGAGAAGGCGTTAATTGGAGGGAGTTTGACAACTTTTGAGTTGGTTTTGGCATCAAAAGTGAAAAGTAAGATTTTATAATTCTTGTCCTTAAAGGATTATCAAAGTCTAATGATTTGTAATCGCAAACTCTATCTTTCCTTAATATCCCATAATATAATAATTCCACATGCCGTAACATCCCTCAGTAACAAATTTAATCATTAGTACAAGTTATTGCAAAGTGTAAATGAGGAATTCAAAGTATTCAAATTAAAAACATCATATAATAGAGTGTTATTAAATAGAGTGATGATCCAAAACTTAGAGAAATCATGATAAAGTAGTTTGAATTAAAGGTAAATTTCTCTGAATATATCATTCCTACTTTACGAGAATGCTAATCTTTAATAGATGGTGATAATTTTATAGGGTTGAAGAATAATTAACACAATAAAGATTGTAAAATATACATCATTTAAATTAGTGATGGATCTATTGGAGGGCTATCTAAGTCAATAGGCTTAAAGTTATTAGGCAGCATTATAGAGTTTGTTATAGGAGAAATTTCCTTGGAATCAGTTCTTTCCAAAACCCTAAACTACAATCTAATAAGTTTAATTCTAGAGGAAATAATTTCCAACAACTTCGCAAATGTTTGCCTAACAAATCATCACTAGATTGTATGATCTGAGTACAGTGTGTGCTCAAGACTCTTCGATATTTGGGATGTTTTTATCATAATTATAGCGTTGCTTAGCTTCACTGTTTGTTTATGGATAGCATTTGACTTAGGAAGTAAATGATTTATAGTCACTTAATTATTACATAATGACCAAATTTTTCTTTTTGTTGAAGGAAAAGAAATAAATTGAAGATCAATATGAAGATTTTAAAACTTAATTAGGGTTGTATTCTGATGCAAAACGATTCTTAAAGTATTTAAATTATAATAATTAATATAGTGAGAAAGTGTAGGATTTAGAAAAGGTGATCTTAGATAAGAATGAAAAAATTAGTAGCATGAATCAATAACTCTATATGAAGGAAAGTTAATTAAAACAAAACTAAATTATGGTCTAAAAAAACAATGAGTCAATTCGTTTGTATTAGGATAAACTTAAAATTCTGGCCAGAGAAGTTTATGGAGGTCAGAAGAAAATATAAAAATACTTGTGTGGAATACAATGAAATAGTGTCGAGGTTTAATTTGTTAAAGATTTAATTAGAGAAAATGGAAAAGCATTAAAAAAATTGAGTATAAAAATTATATTAAGAAAAGTATCCTTTATTTAAGATAAAATGTCTTCTTCAAGTTCGTCGAGGTCACGATCACCAAAGAAGAATAAGAAAAGAGTATATGTTACAGGATATTCTCTTAAAGAGGATTAACATGACATTAAAAAACTATTCAAAAAATTTGGAAAAATTGAAGAATTTGCTTGGAAAGGGAAATATTGTTTCATTGTACATATAATGAATTAATTGTAGGAATTCAAAGATCCTTAAGATGCAGAAAAAGCTGTTAAAAAAATGAATAAGGAAGAAGTAAAAGGATCAGTGTTATAGGTCGAGATGGCTCGTGGAAATAAGCCGAGCAAAAATAACGGCCTATGCTATTCATGCGGTCGCTCTGGACATTTGTAAGTTTAACTAAAGCATTCATTCACTTTTTATAGAATACGATTTATATTTTGTCTTATTCATTTACCATTTTATTAGCGCTAAAAACTGTAGACATAGATCGTCGTCATCCAGTTCATCTAGCTCTAGTAGGTAATGAATTAAACATAATAAATTTTAGTGAGTCTAGAAAAAAACACAAGAAGAAACATAAAAAAAAGAAGAGCTCATCCAGTTCGGATTCCTCATCAAGTAGTTCATCAAGCAGAAAGAAAAGGAATAAGAAGAAGAGTACAAAAAGGAAATCAAAGTCCTCATCAAGAGGCTCTTCAAAAGACTCATAACATTCAGAGTCTTCTGCCGGCTCGTACTTTTAAAGTTGAATTCTGTTTAGCATTAATGACGAAAAAAAAGAAGAAAAAAACCCTATTGAAGAAGAGAATCAAGGAAATGAAGGAGGTGGTAAGTAATGAAGTACCCGTGATGTTATAAATAAAGTTGGTGTCCAATAATATTCTTATTATAAATAAATATTATCAAAAATTATTTTAATTCATTTACTATCTATTAATTTACTTAAATTCATTTATTACTTGACTTTATTTCGTTTAATTTTATTGATAGAATTATTCGTAATTGGTCTATGAATGAGCAGCATTATAGAAAGACATAGGTTTTTCAAGCTTATTATTAGAAATTTCTAATTAAATACAACAAATTACAGCTAAGTTTTAATGCTGGAACTTAATGAACTTATTCCTACTACTTAGATAATTTCAATAAGCATTCTTTTAGGTTTTCTATTTCATTCTTATGTAATTCAATTTCAAGTTTATGCTACTCATTTTCATCCTTTAATTATTGATTAATTATTCCTAATGCTGCATAATCATTCTATGCCTTTTAAATTTGATTGGATTATTTTTCATAATTAACCAGGCTTTATTCATTTAATTAATTCAATTGCTATTAAAATTATTTAATGGTTTCTCCTTACCTTTTAATTTATTATTAAGCAGTAATTAATTAGTTTTATACTTCTTCAAATTTAAGTTCTTAATCAATTTTGTGTTGTTATAACTTGAAAACCTCCATATCCCTTAAATCATGCACTTATTGTAAATGATTAATATTATTCTTTAATTATTTGATAACATCTTCATAATGTTGATTGATATCTGATAATTTCTTGATTTCCAAGTCTCTTTTTAAAAGTAATTTATCCTGTTCTTTAAGACTCTCCTATTATGAACTAGCAGTAGTTTAATTAAATTGGTTTGTAGTGTGTTGATTATTTAAGATCTATTTTTAATTGACTTATTGTTTCAACCTTTCTATTTCTTATTTTAATTCTTGATTTTTTTGCCTCTATTCAAATAATTAATTATTTATTTGTTCTTTTTCCATTATATGCGCATTAATCTCAGATAATAATTTCTCTTTTTCACTTATTATTTATGTAAAATTGAATATTTAATTAGAAAATGCCCCTCTGCTCTTGCCCAAATATTTTGACTCTTATAGAAGTTTTCTTTCCATTTGAACTATTGAAGTTGATTTTAATTTATTAGAAATTTCAATTCCCAATTTACCCTATTTCATCAAATCAAGGGCATTCTTCCAAATTTATGGATAAGTCTTTGTAGTTTATAAATTATGTTTTGTTTAAGTATAATAAGTCTTTGTTAAAATGCTTTAAACCAAAGGAAGATCAGTTTTTTATCCATCCTATATATGTTCTTTAATAACTGAAGCGCATTCTTCTAGCATCTCTTTAGGTGGCTTATTTCATTATAGTTATAGTTACCCTTTAGATTTGCTGATAATTGATAATTTTCTCAAATGTGAAGTATGATATGATAGGAAATTTAACATTCATAATAGAAAGTCTCTCCTAAGCAATTTTATACAAACTCAATTTTCCAGCAACTGTATCAATTGGAAACCATTTACTCCATACCCATATACTCTCCAATGTATAACGATGAAAATTTAATCCAACTTATTCCAGCTCTTTTATTTATTCATACTTTTTCTTAGAAGTAGTTGACTAAAGAAATAACATTTTGCCACGTTCATCGTCTTTACTCTCTTTTTTGAACATTGCATAATCTTCTAAAATAGGCAATATATTTTTTTGAGTTATTTCTATCCATTCATATTCCTATAGCTCCAATAATTCATTGATAAACTAAATTTACAATTAATATATACTTTCAAACACAAGAATTTCGGATAATGGGGTCCTTGTTGATCACTAAGGTAATTGATTATTACATCAGCACATACCTTCATAACATCCCTGAAAATATTCAATTGAATTACATTCTTTGCTGTTAAACTGCTTCCAGATATTGCTTGACTCCAATATATGTACTATTAGAACTTAGAATTTTTGTCAATGATTCATAATCCATTATATAAAGTTTAATATATTAAAACTTATTAAATTATTACTTGTTTATAAGATATTACATAAATCTAGATAGTTTTATATGAATATGTAAAGGAATTCAATTTTCAGACACCTAAGGCAAATATATTTACTATTGCAACAGTATTTTCACTCTCTTGTCTTATTGCTACCGATCCGTCAGTATTATTATCCCAATAACAAGAGGCAGAGAGGTTTATAATATAATCAGCTTTTTAAAGTATAAGGCAACTAACTATGAATTTAAACTGCTTATTATTATTTAAGTCTTTTAATTTGATCAAGATTGTATCGCATATTGTATTACTTTTTTTTTGAGCATTACTTAAATTATCGTATTGATAGATTTTTATTTCCTAATCCAGTATCCCTTGAGAAATCTTTGTTACTTCTTCTTTCAATAAATAATCAAAAGAATCTTTTTTTTCCAAATTAGACATACTTTAATTATTTTATATAATTATTATATTTTCTTTAAGAAAAATCTAAACATCCAGCAAATAAATTTGATTCAAAGATTCAATAAACATAAAAATTACTAGACTATATTTTTTATCCTTTTCATAGTTCTGAATTCTATTTGATTTTTATCGATTAATTGATTCAGATATAAACCCAAACTATTTAAATTAAACCTAAAATTTAGTTTCATTTTTATTTCACTTCATTTTGTATAAGATTGCATTCATTTTTAGCTTAGATATCAAATACATTTTTTTAGATCCCTTCTTTTCACTTAGAGTAATTAGTTGTAATCTATGTTCATCAATATTTGAAGCTCTTCATTTAAAATTAGTAGATTGATAAAATATTTTATGTCAAATATAAATCCAACTATTTTTATTCTGATTAATTCGGTTTTAATATTTATTATTTTTATCAAACCCATAATTTAAAACTTTTGACTTTTATATTTAAGAAGAAATTAGTTATTTAAAAATTCAATTGAAAATATAAGTAACTTACTAAGAAGAATTTTTAAGATAGCAAGAAGTGCATTTTGGAAAAGATTTGATATTAATTATATGGATGCATTTATAAACGCTATCTATATACCTATAATAATTTAAAATTGAAATATTAATTCGGATTCTAAGTGGATTTCTCAAAATAATTACAAGAATATATATATTTTAAAGAAAAAAAAAGTGTTTAGTAGTAATGTGTTAGAAGATTGGCATTTTAGAGTTTGGAAAATATCTTTTGGATGCGTGAAACTGAAAAAAGAAATTTAAAAACACTCTATATGTCAGAAAGATCTTTGTATTGTACCTAGTTTGTTAAATTATTTCTCGAATTATTCTTTTAGAAGATTATTAATACCCTTTAAACCTTTAGAATACCAAATTATTAATTATTGTATACCATATTATTTATATGATTATGAAAATGCTTTTCATTGAAAAAATGGAACATTTACTAATTACTTTTAAAATAATTTTAGAAATTTTAACATGATTCCAATTAGATTGAAAATCTAGAATAGTTTTAGTTTTTTTCCCGTTTAAATATAGAATTGTTTTAAAATTAAAATGCCACTATTTGTTATAAAAATAAGATTTGAATAACAAATGAAATTTCTTATAGAGTTTTTCAAAAGATTCTTAATTGTCCTTATTATTGAAATAATTTTTTTGATATTTGGAACTTTGGAATGATTCTAATATGTTTATCGAAAATATGAAGTATTTGGATTTAAGAATCCTTTACATAATTCTATTAGTAGATTATCTATTGCTTTAAGAATTAGATTCTTAATCGAGACTAATTAAAAACAATTAATTTATTAATTGACACTTAAAAAATGCCTTAAGTAAAAATAGTAGTAGAATACCTTAGAAATAAAAAGAATTACTATCATTAAGATTATATTAATTACCTAATAAGATCCCTAATAATTAGAATGAGAAAATTAAATTCAGAACAGGAATTCAGAAATATTAGAAAAACTTTTTGAATTTTTTGGAACTTTTAGAACTTTTAGAATACTTAATGTTTTGGAAAATATGATTGGAATTTAATCTCTTAATTAATTAGATTGCTTAGTCTATTTTAGGATTATGACTTTAATAAATGAAGTTTTATATTAGGTACTAAGGGATTATGTTGTAAAATATTGAAAAAAGTGTTTCTTTTTGATATTTTATGATATAATAAATTAATATTTAGTATAATTCATGAAATTTATGAAGTTGAATCAAAGACTATTATCACCCTGCAATTTAAGTTTGTTGTTTTATGTATGAATTTTAAACAAATGAAGTATTCATAACGTGTTTAAGTACAATGTGATGTCCAACAGAAACTAAGACTGACTTTGTTTAATTCCTGATATTTGTTCAGATGAATAATTCAAGTAGATTACTTTATAATAGGATTCCAATCTTGGTTTCTGTTTCAACTTAATTTTACCAATATCTGTTGCTAGTGCTCATTGTATTTACTAATACCATGTGGAACATCACAAGATTTTGAACAAAAGATTATGCAAAATGAAAAAGAATGTAGTTAACTTAATTTTAGGATAAATAACTTGAATTTGAAGAAAGAAAAACTAAAGAGAAAATAATAATTCAAACCCATAGAAAATCAGAAGAAGAGAGATTTATTCAAATATAATGGAATGAAGAGATTTAAGAACCTTAACTACAATTATAAATCAACAACCAAAATCTTACATATTGACGTAGATAGATTATTATTAGGCTACGTCGCTGGAGTAGTAGTGTTTTATCAAGACCCCTGAATTATACCTAAAAAATAAAAGTTAGATCTGAACCTAAGATACTCTTAATTAAATTGAAGTAGATAAATTAATTTTAGGTTCAAATGCTTTGTTACTCATGTTGAACTCTTAAAAAACTAAGAAAAATCAATCAAAAATTTTCAAAATTTTATTACATTCAAAGAAGATCTAAATTAATCGAAGTAACTAACCTTATTTTAGATTCCTCACCTGATGTATGATTAGAAAACTTTGATTAATAAATGTGAATTAGATCTCTAAAAAATTCTAAACAAAGAAACATGTGTTTGAATCTTAGTATTGAATTCTAATGATAATTTTGAATATAAAGAACGTGTCAGAATACAAAATAGCTTATAAAGAAGATCTATCCTTTATATTTATCAAGTAATGGATTCTATATTAGATTCACTGACTGTGTAGTACTTTTAGAAGAATTAATTGAAGCTTTAGAAGAGTAAAGACTTTGTTTTAAAGTATTTATTTTAACAAAATCAGAAAATAAATTGTTGATGTTTTGACTCCTTGTTGAACCAAAAGATCCACCCTTTAACAAAGATGAATTCTTTTCTTTCGATTCCAGAACCGCGAAGATGATAGAACTAAGGAATAATGACCAACTTGCCAGAGACACACTAAAGAAGATTAAGACTTAAGACAATATCGAGTAGCCAAATGAGATCCAATAGAGACAGAGAGACTATCCAGAAAGACATAGAAGTTTCTACCTTGTTCTTTTCCAGTTGAGCCAATTATCAATATTTCTTGAGAACCAAGTGGTCCACCCATGAGACAAGACTTAAGATAGAAGACATCCAAAACTTCTTTACCACGGAGAACGACAAGACTATTTTCAGATTTCCAAAAATTCTCTTCTAAGAAATAAGATTCCCTTTACAGAATGATTCCTTTACTTCCGACTTGACTTGATACCCAAGATCAACAATTCAGACTCAGACAAATCTTTCTAAGATCCCTTTTCCTTTTAATTTGCAGACCTATCACGAAGATCAAATATTGTGGACCAATCTCAGATGCCAACCCTTTTATATTATCATATTAAGACAACCTTGTTGAGTTCCCAGATTTCTCTATTACTTAAGCAAAGACAATTTCCTTTAACTAAGAGACGATTTCCTTTAACTCAGAGACGATTCCTTATATTTTAAGAGCGAATTCAATGAGAATATTTCTTATTATCAATTTGTTTTTGGAGCCTTACTTGAAGAGCAAACAGAATTCCTTTTTAAGAACTATAAGACAGACAGACAAACAGACCTTCGACAGAATTTATATTAATAATGCAGATGCTTTTTGTTATTTAAGTGCCTTTGTTGACTACTCGAGAATCCCTATTTATTCTAGATAATGATTTGAAGTGCCATCCATTATTTCCTGAAGACCCCAATAAGACCCTGTTTTCTAATTTAAAATTCTTAACTATCCCTTTGACGAAAAGACCTTTTAAATCTGTTTTAAGATCACTATTTTTGATTTGATGATGCTTTTTTTTGGAATAATGAATTCCCTTGTGTCCTTCCTTGAAATGAACTGATAATTTGAGTTTGAAAGTGCAACCCAATTAAAGAGTAGAGCCAATCAATTAAGAGTTGTGCCTTCCCCTTTATTGAGTTGTGACTTGAGCCACCAAACCAAATTGGAAGTGTACACTTTGTGATAATTGCCCCCCTCCCCCGTTGCCCCTCCGGAGATCCAATTTGTGTCCAATGAATATTAATTCATGGAAAATTGGTCCCTTTCCCATAAATTTTATGGTTGCCTTAGAATTGTGTATGTGCAATTAAGTCCCTTCAACACATTGATGTGTTTGATATATAAAAAACCCTTGGGCTTTGCTAAGAGACGTTAGACATGCCGATTAGAGGAGAGAGAGCACCTAAAGAAAGAGAGGCGGAAGAAATAAACAGAGGGCGGACTTTGAGCAGGCTTAAGACAGAAAAGGAAAACTTGGAATCAGAAAATGGATATGGAATTTGAGAACATGAAACTAAAGTTGGAAATGGAATCAGAAATTGGAATTGGATGAGACAAAGAAAAAGCGAAAGAAAAGAGAAAAAGGGCATGAAATCACAAATTATGCTTACAGGTAAATATTTATTAATAGGTACTCAAATCATAATGAAATGAAATTGGCATAACAGAATTGATTCAGAGAACTTAGACCACGGAGTGGAAAGAGAGTTTTGGATCAAGTTTGGATGTGAATTTTATACATTTGTACATAATTTAAATACAAACAAACAAAAAATATCAATTTTCTTAATCATCTTTGAGTTAACCTTTTTTCTTATTGCTATTATTTTTGGCTGGAGTAGCTACCTGCCATTCAGGATAAGAGGAATCTCTATCATGATGCAAATAACTAAAATTTTTAGAAGATATTACATCCATATTTTCTTTTCTTAATCATATTTAACACATGGGTCAGTAGATTAATGCAATCTGTCCAAAGCTCCTGAAATGATAGAACTCATTTTCTCTTCTGGTAAATTCTCATTTATGTATTGCGAATCTCTAACTAAATTGACAATATCTGCTCTTGTTCCAAATCCTTTTGGCAATCTTGCTGAAGCATCTCTTACTAGAGATAATATTGTAACATAGGTAGGTCTTTCATTCTTAAGCAATTCATGTTATCTTGGTTTTTAACTTGATCCTGATATTAGTTTCTTAGCCACGGGAGCCACTGTTACTTTAGAACCATCTATGCATGTAAAAGTATAAGGTTGGAGGGGATTTTAATATCTTTCTCTTTCTTATTTCCAATAGAATTCTAACCATTCTCTGTTGGTTTATCCATTAGGAATGTTAGACTCTTAAACATTTTAGGTTTGATTTTTATTCTATTACTTTATTGATTTTTTAGCTTGCATCAAAGCCAAAGTCATGGCAGTTGTAGCAATTGATGTTGATGTTAATGGAGCCAATGGTGTTATTGGAGTTATGATAAATAAGGATTGGGCTGATGGTATAAATTACTATTGGATCTGAGGTTGAGGCTACAAAGAATATTGCTGAACATTAGCTGAGGATTATGATTGTGATGTTTATGTTGAAAATCCCTCCTCTTCAAATTCTTCATTATTGTCATCTAACTTCATTTATTTACTTATTTCATCATCATCTGAAATTGATGATGGAGATCTTTAAAATATGATTCTTTTCTTCCTTTAAAGTGCATTCTAAATTCTGTTCTGATCTTTATGAAAACTATCATATAGATTTGAATAATATTCATTCAAATGATTTCTAGAGATCTTCTGTTCCAATTTATCACATATTTCTTTATTCCTTGTGAAATATCCACTTTTCATTTTTGTCAGGAAAATATTTAATGGGCTTCCGAATTGAAAATTTTTAGTGCCTTCTATCACATCTTGGAATAATTGCAAATCTGCCTCAGGTAATAGGCAACATAAAGAATCAATTTCTTGTTTTGTGAAATTGTCAACAGAAAAGACCTATTATATAAATCTCATTACATTTTCCAAAGATGACAAGGCCATAATACTCAATGGGAAATTATATTATTGACCTTTGTAATACAGAATGATTTTGTCTCCCTAAAATACTAGAAATTATTAACACAACATTTACTCACTTTATTCTTCATCTTCTCCTTCATCACTTGAAAACTATTTATAATTGTCATATAGCATTTCTAACAATATTATTCACACAATTACATTATTCTACAAACTACTCTAGGTTCTTCTTATTGATTTAATAGGTCTTTTGATAATGATCAACACGCGAATTCATTAACAAATTTAGAATATAAAAAATAAGTTATTATAAATTCAAATTCATGGTTCTTTTGAATTCTTTACTTCATTAATTACAGAGATTATATCTATAATCTTGATTGGCTTTGATACAAAAGCATCGAATCCTTTCTATTGGCATTTCTCTTTTTCTTTTAAATCATCATATCCAGTCAATGCAATAATATAGCTTTTTGGAACGAGATTGTTGTTCTCCTATACTTTATTATATTTTATCAATACCAGTAATCGAATTTATTCAGTAGCTTCGTATCCATTCATTATGGGCATAGTCAAATCCATGAATATATATTGATATCTTTGATCATTAGTAATACCCGATTTTATCTTTTGAAGCGCTTATTCTCCATTGTAAGCTTCTTCAACTGTTATAAAATCGTATTTGGTTAAAATCAATCGAAATGCAATCACATTGACAGGGGAATCATCTACAACTAAAATTGTACAAGGTTCTGGGAATAGCTTTTTCATCATGTCATCAATAGATTCGGTTATTTATAAAGGTTTGCGTTGTCTATTCTAAAGTGGGGGTGATTCCATACTATCAATTTGATACAAAGGAGTATTCAAAGAGCTATTAATATCAACTTACTTATTGATTTTCTTAATCAACTTGGCATGAGTAAGTTCGCTATTTAATTCAAGATACTATTCCATGTTTTTCTATTTTGAATGATCTGAATCTTCAACACTGCATATATAGCAGAGATTGCCAAAGTTCCCTTGATTTTCATGTTTAACTTAACACTTTTTTTAGGTCTTCTTTCTCTGAACCTTTCTGAGTTAGTAAATTGAATTAGACAATTTTCTATCTTGAATTTCTTGTAGAGTTGAAATACCTTTTTTATTTAGTTTCTTTTGGTTCTGCATTGGAGGTGCCAATAGAGATTAATTGAAAATAGTAAATTAGGATGTTAGTAATTAATTAGCAGAATTTTGATCATCTGATATCTATTTTGTATCCTGTTTATAAAAGTTTGTCATCTCTTTTGAATTGGTAATGGTGGTCAGATTTCTTTAATCATTATTAATATAAACATCAAAACTAAATTTAGAACCCACTCCAACTTAACTTATCAAATCAATATTATCAGTTGGTCCTAATAATCCAACCAATTTCTTACAAATAACTAACCCCAATCCAATGCCATGCTTATTTGAACCATTATTGGTGAAATCAAATGTTCCATACATCTAAAATAACTTAGGTTTCACATTATCGGGAATGCCCACTCCTGTGTCTGAGACACTTATGGTGATAAGTCTGACTTACTAATTTTCAATTTCACTATTTTTATAATCAACAACTATGTCGATTTTGCCCTTTTCTGTAAATTTTAGAGAATTACTTAAAAGATTCAACAAAATTTATTTGATTCGATTAGGATCAGAATACATCAACCTATCTCCAAAAGTAATCTTCTTTTGCACAATTATGCCCTTCTGATTTGCTTAAAGGGAGACCAGATCAATGATTTCTTAGACGATGGCTTGGATGTAGAAGGTTGTATTGGTTAATCTTAAGTTGTTCTTTTGTATCCTCGAAAAATCCAGGATGTCACTGATCATATACAATAATAATTGAGCCCACTTTTTTAGTATAATTAAATAATTAATCTCCACTTAATCAACGACTATTCTACAGAAATTATTAATATAAATACTATTCTAAATATTATACAATGGCAACAATTCCATTTATGGGAGTCTTGAAATCATGTGACACACTAACCAAGAGGTCATCTTTATATTGGTCTCTCAATTTTAATTCTTCTATTTATTATAACTATTGCTTTTCGGATTGCGATTAGAAAATCAACATGATGGCTGGCTACTATTCCCAAATGACTTCAAGGACATCAATATCAGCAGGAAAGTAGTTTTGGATTTACTCCTTTTGTTATATTGTTGTTGAGTAAGTTTCAAGAGTGCAATGTTCAAATCGTTTTTTGCTATGATATTGATATGACCTGTTTTTTAAAAACTTTTTTTTATTTAAGTAGGTTGCCAGACATTCTTTGTTTGATTTAGATGTAATATTCTTGATAATTTAAGGCGTAAGTCCGTGATAATCAATTCTAAATTAATTTGTCATGAACTTGTATTCTAGCATTAAATCATATCATGCACTCATCTTAAATGATGCAAACAGATATAGGAAGGGATTCTTAGAAGAAATCAAAGATTTAGCCAATCTGATGTTTCTCATCGCTTGGGGTTTTATGCTTCAAATATAGGGCTATATGATTAATTCAAATTAATACATCTCAGAATCATGATCAAATATCCAAATATGGTGAGATAAGCCAATGGTTACGAGCTAAAATGACTCCTAAAAAGGATGTAAAAGAAGCAAAACACAAAATATATTATTTTCTATGTGTCAAGTAAAATGAAAGCGCTTAATAACAATCTCATACTTAGATAAAAACCTAATATCTAATATAACAATGGTTTTTACATTTTCATCTGCGTCCAATAATTCATTTGATAGACATACACTCCCTATAAGCAAAATTAATAAAATTTTTTGTCCGAAACATCCAAATATCAATAGTAAATCTATTAACAAATAGTAATTATCTGTTTAGTCAGTAACTCCATTATAAATTGCTAGTACAACGGATTATAAAATCAATGTGCCAATAATAATTATCATTTATTTTAATTAAATAATTATATATGTATATTTCTTATTTCTATTCCTAGACTTCCACATACATATATTATATATTAATAAATATATAACAAAAATATTATTTCTAAGTATCTTTTTTTCATTCTTTAATGCCGATAGATTTAAACAAGAATTCGTTATTCTTTATTTGTCTGTTATTTCAATATTTAATATCAAACCACTGCACATAATAATGATAAAGACATATTCATCTGTTATATGTACTATATAAATCTTTGCTGCCTTTATACCCATTAACAATAGGCATGTCAATATTCATGGAATGAATCTATTCTACAACTAGGTAGTATCAGATTAATTATTCTTCACCATTCCTAAGGTCTTGATTCCCTCATAAGTTCGATCATATTTGATGATAAAATAATTTAAGATCATAATAAATGCTAAATGATTGATATGGATATCACTTAGAATCAGCAAATATTTTATGATATTATATGTTAATCTTGCTTTTCTGAGGGACCTAAACACATTCATTAGTTATAATTACAAAAACGAACTCATTATGATGGATTTATACTCAAATTTGTGATTATACATTTATAACATCTTAAATATTCGAGAATGGAAACTTTCTTTTTTATGATTGAACAATAGTTTTCTGCTTTGTAATTAGAATTTGTTATGTTTTGATTATAATTCAATTCAATGATTTTGAGTTATGTATTTTTTATAAATTATGTAAAAAAAAGTGATGTAATACAAGCTATAAAATAGAAATTGCGAATACAAAAAATATAAAATTGAGTAAATTCTACAAATCAGGCTTGGAATTGATATAAATAAATTATACTTTCTTTTCAGAGAATATTTAAGTTTTACTGTTTAATAATTTATTTATTTCCTAATCAATTATAAATTTACGTGTGAGAATATCAAGAAAATAAATAATGTAAATAGAATTACACCTTATCCTAATCTATTAATTTTGAAACTTGAAAAGGAATAGTTCAAAGTTGCTATAATAAAAAGTGTAAATAAGTTATCATAGAAGCTAAATTTGAAGCATTATAATTTTGAACTATTTCCAAAACCAATTTGGATTCAGCTCAATCAATATGATTAAATAATAAAATTAGAGGCTGATATTATTTATATAAATATCTCAATAGAAACCTATACCAATAGAATGTTTAAGGGAATATATTCTCCTATGCTTTACTGCTTATATGCTTTAATCGGGTTATTCAAATAAGTAATATGAACTAAAAAACCTCATTAGAATTTTAGGCTGAAAATAAAAATAGAAATTTTGATTTTAAATGATTATTTTCTTTTAGGATAAAAATAATAATAATGGGTACATCATTCAGGGGGTTGCTAGTAATAAAATTATTCATCAGACATTTGCCTACGTTTAAATTATTGGGCTGCTAAATAATGATTGGTGTTTACATGATATCATTCTTCCTGTAGATCTAGTTTCAAGGGATTTCCTAGCTAAATCATTATAGTCTTGATTGAGTTCTAAAATAATAAGACTGAAATATTACTTGTCCTCTTTAATATAATTTATTTGTATATTTCATTCTTTTCATTATCATGGTACCAATAATTTTTGTTATAAATTGACGAAGCTGATTATAGTCGAGAGAGAAACTTTTGATTTTCTTAGTTAATTTTGAATTTCTCGAATTTTCGTTAGTTAAGATTGCTCACATGTGATAAAGATAATGGCAATTATCCAGAACTTTAACTTCTTAAATTTTATCTCTAAATATCCATCATTTTAGATAGCAAAATATTATTTTGATGCATGATTTTATTCTCCTCCTCTTTGTTAATTTTTATATATTAAATTACAATGACTATATTTGTTGTTAACTTTCGATAACGAATGAGATGGTTTCCATGGTTCTCCATTATTGATTGTCTTCCTCACGTTTTTACAATTTAATAATAACCTCTCCTAATCAGAAACCAATTTCTTTTTCTAACATATTGGATTAATTGAGATTATATTCCACATTATAATTAATAAATTAATATATAAATCACCCCACTTACACATTCGCATATTTTTTCCTCATTCCCTTCATAATTTCTATTCCAAATCTCCATCTCCTGCGTATTACTATGCTGCAACCTAGAAAGACAATAAAATAATTAATGCCAAATGTGAAAATAACTTCTACTAATAATTATGATTGAAAGTCTAAGAATACTTCATTTATTGAAAAGAGACTTAACTTTTATTTGTTCATTTTAATTAACTTATTATCCTATTTTAGGATTTTTTCAGTTATTCATGTTGAATTTTCAATTTATATTCCATTATTGTATTATTAGTTTTAGAATGTAAAATGATAAGTTAAAATCGAATAGTCGCATTAGTTAGTTACACATTACTTATTTAAGATTGAAATAATAATGAAATTTACAATTATATTTCAGTATTGTTGATAATTTTATAAATTTTAATTATTTTGCAAAATAAGATGAATCGAAAAGGCTGATGGAAGTGAAGAAGAGATGATAATTATTTAAGTTGAATTACTTAAAAATTCTTATTTGGTGGATGGGAAAATAATTGTAATATTTTAATTAATTATCATTTAGTGTATGGAATGTGAATAAATCAATGAAACTTTGGCTAATTTCGGAACACATTTGATTGGTTAAAAACATAAAGGTACCTGTAAGTGAATGCTTAAATAGATTGGAGAATGAGGCATTTATGGAATAAACACTAGGAAATAAATTAGCAAGACAATAAATAGAATGAATAAATAAGGAAGTGTATTTTGAATTTGCAGAATTTGAGCAAATAACTTATAATAAAAGTTATTAAAACGAATTGCCTGAAGATAATAAAAATAGTTAAAGGATTAACTTGAGTAAACAGATCAAGAAATTGTTATTTAGATTGAGAAATGGATAGTCAAAAAAAAGCGAGAGGACTTTAAAGAATATAAATTTGAAATAAAAGAAGGTCGAAATTGATTTTGAACAAGCAGGATAGCTAGAGTCAATTGAATTAGAAGTAAGAGAGTAAAATTGACAAATTATATAATATAATTAATATGTTAAATTTATAAACTGTTTTAAGGGGATTTGAGGAGAATGGATTAAAATAAGAGTAATATTTCAGTCAGGATGAAATTTTACATAAATTGGATATAATGGCGAAACGGGAGTTCGATCGAGGAATTGGTGAATAAATATTTGAATAATGTCAACCTATCTAAGAGAATTTGAAATTGTTATTTAGACTAGCAGATGTTAGTTAAACCTTGGTTGATGCTAGTTTAATATTGAGTGAAAAGATTAAAAAAGCAGAACTGTAATTAAAGCTAATCTCTTAGAATAAGACAATTTGCGAGAAATAATTAGATGAAACATGTTTGCTATCATCTTATAATTAGCGGTTTACTCTGATACAAGATACTTGTTTTTGACATTATTGTGCGCAAAGAATATACCATTAAAGTTAAAATACTCTAATTGCCACATACAATTGACTTTGGGTGTAACAAATTAAATAGCAAGACCAGAATAATAATATGATAGAGTAAATCCAGAATTCAATTAAGATTTTGAATTGTAATCAAAATATACTTAACCTTAATTTTAAGTTAAATCCCTCCAACGACAACATCCCTTTCGATTCAGTTTTACATTCAGACTAATGCAGCTCCAGCAACTTTATGGGGATAAGCATATTTGCAAATTCAGCAATTAGATGATTCAGCAGTAAGAGATCTAGAACTGTAATTGAAGGATCCTTAAGGCAGAGAACTGGGAGCTAGCATCGAAATAGAAGCCTAGATAGTATTGAATAAAGTATTCCTGTCAAAGATAGTTAGCATCAATATCTGTAAACTCAATTGCAGAAGTTTGAATAAAAAATTTATACCCTTGAAAATGATTTGAATGAGTACAGAACCGATTTGGATGTAGTGGAGAGACCATTTAAGATTAAATTATTTAAGGAGTAGAGTTTCAAGGACTAAAAGAATGATATGTTTGAATAATTCGATCAGCAATAAATGATGAATGAGATGGATTAATAGAACCCCAATTAATTATAGGCATCTGAACACAAAGATTAAATAATATCTGCATTATAATCAGAAAAGCTCTTAGATAAGTTTGATGAAACACCAGATGCTCCTGAGATCCTGCAACATGGTGTCATCATATTCACTATTTATGGTTTGATCACCTTATTTGTTTGTTCTGCTAAACCCTCTTTCTTAGATGTAATTGTCTAATCATTTTGTAGGTCTTGGTTTGCCATGGTCTCATGTTCACAATCTTCATGGACAGATTCGAGCCATTCCATTTAAAGCTTGTTGGAGGAGGCCTAGTAGCTTCCATCTTTTATGATATCTTATGGATGAAATAATACCATGTATGATAGATCTCATTTCTAGTTATGGTGGGAAAGCGATGATCAAAACAATCCAGAATGGGGATTGAAGGCACAAACCTTACTAAGATTTGTTTTAGTTTTTACTTATATCCAATTCTTGTATAAAGTATTATACCTATCATTATTAATAGTTTGTTGTCTGTTATTATATATATTAATTTCATAGAGAATCTATTGATCCCACCAAAAGATACATTTTTACAATTTGGAGAATTTAATATAAAGTAGGTAAAAGTAGGGGTGAGAGTTCAACCTGGTAATCAATGTGATCATATTTTTATATTTAAGTTTATTATTTCACTTGATAACAGAATAATAAGATAGAAATGTATTGAAGTAGAAAAAATTAGAAAATATTAATCTTCAAATTTATATGGCATTCAAAATTTCATTCTCTTTTCCATTAAGCATTCTCAGATTTATTCTCTTTCAATTCACTATGTCAAATTTTAATTAGATTCTTAAAATATTCTCTTTGATTTAAAAATCTGCCATACTATATATTTTCTCTTCATTTCAAAAAAATATTCATTTTTAATATATATCAATAAATAAACTAAATGACATTATCCTCATTTCTTATATAATTATTTAACGTATTTGTTTCACTTCTAAATTAATTTAAAGAAATTCTTCAATTTATATTTCCAATCAAATTTCAAACGAAATGCTATTTTTAAATAGGAGATGGCAAGATTTTTAGAACTTAAATATATTCTATTATTTTGTATAAATAATTAAATTATTTATTAATATCATGACTATAATTATTATTATTATTAATTTTCTTATTACTAATCCAAAATTTCTTATTCTGCCTATCTAGCAGCTTCCTCTTCAGCTAATCTTTAATCCTCGATTTCCTTAAGTCTTCTTTCCTCCTCCATTCTTTTTTTTTCTATCTTCTCTCTTTTTTTTCTAGCAATTTCTTCGTATTTGTCATCTATCTGTTATTACCTTCTTTTCAATGAATTCGAATGTTCTATAGTAATTGTTTCTTCCATATTATTTAATATATCTTGATAATATGAATGACTTACTATTAAAATTGGAAGCATTGTCATTTTCATCAACTAACTAACTTAACACATTTTCATAAACCCATGGTATATACTCATATAATAAGGCTGTTTCCAGGGGATCTCGAAAAACACCCAAATCCTATAACTTCTTGATTGTATTTTATTTAAGGGGATTTATAAGAGATTTTGATAGATTTCTGCAAACTATTTTTTAATGGCTTTGCTTTTATATTTTTAAAAAAGTTTCATATTGCAATTTTCTTCTTGCCTCCTCTTAATCTAATCTCTATTAAACGGCCTCCAATCTTTGCATTTCTGATAATACAGAAGTCTTTTGTTTTTCATGTTATTTCTATTAGTGTTTCATTAACTTAATTTCTTCTTCTTCTAAGACTTCCATTCTCGACTGTTCCAATATCTTATTCATTAAGACCTATAAAATTGGTTCTACTTCCTAATCAAAATCAAAGAGATCTCCTTCCCAAATTTGAGTTTCCTTACAATTATAAGTATTTATACTTTATCTATGCCATTCTTCTTGGGAACAAATAATCTATCAGGTGGTTTATCAATATAGTAGTCAGTTTATGCATCCATCTCTTATTCAGGTGGTTTATCTGTCAATATTTCTAAATATTCATCAGTTTAGATATCAATGTTAACACGATTTTAAAATGGTCTAGGAGTGCTTGGATGTAAATAGGTTGTCTATGGTTATTAAGCCTATGGTCATAAATTTAATATGTAACTGCTTTTTGTTATGGTTTTTTGAATGATTTAAGTGTCATTAATTTCTTATCACCTTATGTTTACACACTTGCATAAGTATTTCCCCTGACTACCCTTTTATCAAACATGATATTGCTTCCCAACAATGAACTTAATATAATCATCATTTACCAACCTGTTTTTTTGATCATCCGAAGATTATAAAGGTTATTGTCTGTATTTTGGTTTGGGTCTCACAACTTCAGGAGCAGCTTTGAATTCGTAATTCTCTCCAGCCAATGCCTAAGCTTATGCCATTATAATTAAATTATATTAATAAACATGTATTATTATATAAATTAAATAAAGCAATTCTCACAAATCATTCAATTTTTGAATTCTTTGCTGCAACTTGAATTGCTTCAATCATTTAGTTCCAAAATTAGTCAACTACTACTTTTCTTGCAAATTGTAAGGTGGGCTCTTATCCAAGAATTCCTTATTTATCAATAACAGTTCTCCCATAACACAATTTAGATTCGCAATCAACTGCACAATACACAGGCTTAATTACATACATTTCTGGATGTAATGCATAAAACACAGCAACAGCTAAACTTAGGATCAAAATATTACGATCATGAATTGGAGGATAATCGAATTCTTAGGCCTTGTATGCTGCCTAATATTCCTAGAGCATTTCCAAACACCAATCAGAAAATTTGGTGTTTATGCTTTTAATTCTTTATTAAAGGGGTTCTAATAATTAACATGTCTAATATTTTTGTAAATTAATGTATAGTACGTATGTTAAATCCAACGAAATCATAACCAATTTCAATGAATGCTATTTGCATGTATCAATGACGAATTGGGCAGCCTCAGGGTCTGAGTAAATGTTGTATTCTGAACTTGGTGTTACATTCCCAAATCCTGATGTACCGCCCATAAATACTATCTCTTAAATTTAAGGAATTATGTCCTCGTGATCCCTAAGTAACTTAGCAATATTAGTCTATGGGCCTGTTATGACTATGACAAACTAATTTATTGTATTTTAATACTTCTTGATCCCCAGCAGTCTACTTAATCAAATCGTATAAATCCATGTCTTCTATTGGCTTGAAGGAAGAAATCAATTTATCAACCGAGTACAATCCTAATATTTATTTATTAGTCAATTTACCTTAAGTGCCATGCATTTTAGTTGTAGCTCTTGTAGATTTTAAAGAAAATTCTGCTCCTTTATACACTGGTACATCAGTTCTTCCTAATGAACTAAGCAATCGAATCGTATTATTTGTGCAGTTTTCAAGACTATTTTCAATACAAACTCTTACCTTGTGTTTCCAAAACAAGTGGAAATTCCAAGTAGATTAGATTTTGGATGAAACAAAGCTAAAATGAGTGCCATGGCATCATCATTACCAACATCACAGTCTAACCATATATTGACCTTTTCTGTGTCCATTATTGATTATAAGATAATAAAAATAATAAAATCATCTCTTGTTTTCAACATAAAATTTCGTAATTCATTAATAAATTACTATTTTTCTATAATTTACATCTGAATCACTTTCTATATTACTAAACAAAAGCCTTGATCATTGACAATCATTTTCAAATCAATTTCTCTCTTCAAAGGATCCTTCTCAAGTTAAAAGTATCATGATTATTACTATGCTTTCATATTTGTCATATGAAAATATGGTCTACCATTGAAAATTTATTATTTCCTCTTTTGTCAATAAGAATTTCAAATAAGTTGATCATATTCTATATTACCGTTTTCTCCTCTTTTTAATAACACTTGTTATTCATAATTTTTTAGGTTAATAATGTTCAAGAGGCTTTGAGCTATAATTCATACAAAATTATATATATTTAACCTAATTGCTAATTGGCAATTATGCCGTATAACAAAATTTCAGTTTTAACTAAATACTATGGAATATTAGTTTGAAAAAAATAAAATTTTCCATATAATTATTTTTTTTTATTTTACAGCAAAAATGAAATCTGTTTCCTTTAATGGGTCAAATAAAGATAGAATCTATTTGATCAAAGTGAAAAAAGATGTTTAGACATTTTTAATGTATTTTAATTTTGAACTCCTTTTTAATCAATAACTTCTAGTACATTCCATTTGAAGATATTATGATAAATCTAATTTAATTTTTCAAATTTCTTGCAATTTCGAGGAGGTAATGAGATTACTTTCAAAATAACTGAAATAAAAGACATAAAGACTACATATTTTTAATAATCATTTCGAGATCCCCTTTGCTAATATTTATAGATTAGAAAGGCTGGTTTTCTTTGATTTTTAAGACTTGAATTTTCGGGCTTTTTTGCGTATTTGGTGGTTTTCAAGGTTCAAAGAATTAAGATAATTTATTTCATCAATTTGGACTAGATGAAAACAGTCTTAGGATGCCTCTTAGACATAACTATTATCTTCGATTTATGATTTTACTTCCGATTTCTCGCTTTTCCCAGTTGATTTAAAACTAATCATGGTTTGTTAAATTTTGAGATTATTTAAATCACATATATAATAGAAATCCCCCATTTGTTACTTATTTTTTTTCCTTGCTCCGATTATCTCAATTGTGTCTTCTAATTCATCCGATATAGTCATTCTTTTGAATTCGAAACAAACAGATTCATCAATTTATTTTTGTTCCTCTAAATTTTGAAAATATTGTTCTTCTTAATCATCCTCTTAGGTAAGAGTCTACAAGGGTTTCTTTCTTTATTTTATTTTCAAATATGTTCTAGCAGTTGTTTCATTCATTACGCAAAACATCGTTTAATAAATAATAACAATTTATCTTCTTTATTAAGGGACCCTTATATAATATGTGAATTTCTATTAAAAAATGAATTGAGAATTTTATTATTTTGAATAAAAATATTTTTCAAAATTATTTCCTCTCAACAAATACTTTTTGTATTAATAATTTTAGATATTGGATATAGAATAATAAATATTATGGATAAAATATTAAAAAAATATAAATTAAAAAAACCTACAAAATAATAGTAAATATATTAAGCCCTTAGCAAGCTTTATAAATAGAGAAGGTACATCATAAGGGAAATATATTAAACAGAGAAAAATTATGTGGAAGACTTAAAGATGATTTGTGAATTGATCGTCGATAAATATATATAATAATATGGAATCGAAGAGTCGAAAAAGTTGTTTTCAAATATCAAAGAAATTGTAGCAGTTAATGAATGGTTTTATGATAAGTTGACCGAAAGAATTTAATTAGAAAATCAGAAATACTAAAAGAATTATAAATTAAAGAACGAATTAAAGGATCAATTTGGACATGAAAACAGTTAGTTGTTCTATTTTTAAAATTAAGAGAGTTTATTATCCAAATTTGAATGTTATTATTTGTATTGCGAAAGATATAGCACTATGAAAAATTATATTTTGAAAATGAAAAATGAGAATGAAAATTTTCGATAATTTATAATGGAAGCAGAAAAAAATCCATTAATGAAATCTAATTAATTGGATGATTACTTGATTAAACCAATACAAAGATTACCTAAATACATATTGCTTCTAAATGATTTAAAAAAGAACACTCCAACTTAAGCCAGTAATACCTTATTTAATGGCCTTGATTACATTCAACATCCTGATTATGAGAATATTTGTAAATTATTAAATGTCTTTGAGAAGGTCAATGATAAAAATAATGAAAAGATTGGTGAATTTTAAAATCTATAAAAAATGAAAGATGTACAAAAACAATATGGAAGTGCTAAGTTGATTATTGATAACAATAAAAGAGTGTTTGTTTTTCAGGAGAATCTTGAATATTATGTGAATGCTTATTAAAAAAAAAACATTTAATTGTTGTGTTTTAGCGACGCTATTTTATTGATTGAACTTGAGTACTCTCTATTTGGTCCAAAACAGAAATGTATTGCAATGAGTGAATTTTCACTGGCTTCTGAATTCAATAAAATCAACTCCAAATAAGGGTTATTGTTCAAAATAACAACCAAGTAGAAGGTATTCATTTTTATAGCAAATGATAATAAGTAATTGGATAAGATAGAGAAACTATTTAAAATCACTATTGATAAATTTATTCAAGAAAAAAAGAGTATGCTTGATGAAAGTGGAGGCAATGAAGATACAACTTGGGATTAATTATAAATATAAGTAAGAATTGAAGGAACAGAAGAATACAATTAAGCATCCCTTTAAAATTACACAGTTTACATTATATAGATCTAATTGAAAGACATAGGATGGAAAATATATTTGAGATACTCATAGGTTTCAGCAATATTTTCTTACATTAAAAAGTGTGATTCAGCCAATAATGTATTGAAATTGCAAAAAAGTAATTGGCTACAGAGTCATCAAAATAAATACTTAGATTCTCTTAAAATTAATATAGAAGGATTTATTCAAAGTATTTTTCAATGGAAAAATTTTGAGTAATTTAAAAAAAAAATTTTAATCAAATTAGGTCTTCCTACAAATTTTAATATTTTACCAAGATTTATGGGTGGTCAGAATGAATAAAAATTGGTTAGGAATCTCTCGGTGATTAATGAAAACCAAGACTCGATTGATACTTTAGCTGAAAAGTTAAATTAACAATTCTTAGAAGAGTTAAAGATTTCTCATATGTTAAAATCTTATATTAATTAATCAGATGAGAAAACTATATCATTTAGTATCAGAGTGATTTTACCTAGATGTTTATAAGTAAAGGAAGAGATCATCAATGATCCTAACAGTAAAGTAGAAAGTTGGATAATTAATAAGATAACAAAGTGCGGTGAAATCATAGTAAAGATTGATAACTTAACCAAAGCAATGGAAATGTGTGAAATTATTGCCAATGCTATATAACTTTCAGAGTTTTATGATTTTAGATTATTTGTAATTGATACAAGAGGAAATAAAAGGTCATTGGAAAATAATTAAATTGTTTTATAATCAGTGCCAGCAGACAAAAATATATTTCCAAATTAGAGTTTGAAAATCTTCACATTATTCGATGAGCCTTACCGACTTGAATTCTGTAAGTACATATTCTTTCCCTAAACTATTGAGTCATATTTATATAAGTAAGACGAAACCAGATTAAAATTGCTAGTGGAAGGGTTTTTAACGGAAGTCAAACATGCTCATTTAACTCCAAAAGTATATTCAATTATTTATACTTTATATATTATAATTTATAAAGAGAGTGATTAATTGGTAAGGTACAGTAATATTTTGGATAAGGAAATTATGGACGCCCTTATTTTATCTTATATTAGAAAATCACAAACAAATATAACTTGGATTGTAATCATTTGTATTCTTAAATTAGAACTTGGTGAGAAAGTAGATGGAATCAATATACCCTGAGATTAAAACTCTTGCTGCATAAAATGAGGAATTGTGTATCCAATAACAATTGGATTTGAAGTAACAATAAATTTTCACTAATATCTAAAATTTGGCTAGGATTTCAATGATAAATTTAGCCTATCAAATACCTCTTTGGGGAATTGTGACCTTTTATGTTGGGATCAAAGTCACGGAAGAAACAAATAAGATTTTAAAATCAATATTATAAAATGAATTGCCTAATCTCTATTTAGGTATATCATATAATAAGTTCTAACTGTTAACTCCTGGAAGAAAGAAGATGCTTTGCTCTACTAAGTTAGCTTAGATCACTAATATTACTGTAGAACCTATCTATATATACATTTAAATAAAAAATTTTCTGTAGGAAAATGATAATTAAAATATTGTGTTGAAATTCAAAACAATTGAAGGATACAAAATATCAACTTTGATTAAAGAATATCAAAATCTAAATTAATAATACCCTTAATTATCACAAATCATATGAATTGAGAATTGAGATTCATTAATATGCATATTAATTAATCAAATATTCATTAATAAATTTTTGTATATCCCAATTTTATTTCAATTTGTTTAATTCTTCTTGAGTAATAGCCTGTTGCGAATTAGAATGTGTCTTAACAAATTGTTAGATTTTAAGTAAATTGTTGATTTAATTTGTTGCTCTTTGAATTTTTGGTTGCATCATTAACTCAGATTTTTATATCACAGGATCAGATCCTTTTCGTTTTCCTCTCTTTTCCGGTAATAATTATTCACTAACATCAGAGGTTGTCGATTGATTTTCTATTTTCGAATAATAAGTTGAGGATGTGTCTGCAGTGTACCATCTAGTATATTTATTTTGCTTTTAAGGGAGAATTCCAATAGCCTCACTTAGTATTTCATCGTTTTCATTGGTTATATCATCACTATCATATTATTATTCAGATTTAGTAGCTTAGAATTCTTCTTGGTATCTTAAGAATCTGTCTCTATCAACTTGGGCGTTGAAAACATAGACTTCGGCTTTTAGATTTAATTATTTGCAGATAAGATAGTGGTTACCAGGTTTGCAATCAAAGATGTGTTATTCACCTAATTTCAATTTCTTACTTTCTTCTTATTGGAATGTAAATGATAATCCGTGCTCTTATTCATTCCTAAGAACCAATTTTTCTTATTTCAAAAGATATAATCTATTTGGCATCAATTCATCATTACAAATGGTAATCATTAATTAAATATTATAAAATTATAAACTATATATATATATTTTACTAAGCATCCTAATATTTATGATGTCATTAAATTTGTTCTTTGCCTGATATTTTGCAAAAGCGAAAATAATGAATTAAAAACGAAACTCATAATATAAATTTTGATAATTCAATATAGAAAATATAAATTATCTATTAATAAAATGCAATTTGGGATGCTGAAATATCCAAGGTGATATAAAAATGAGCAAGTAAAAATAATGTCAATTATGAATATTTTTATAAGATCACTTTTTCTGTTTGTTCTGAGATTGTCTAATCAAACTTTAATTTGATCCCAACAAGGCACTTAGTCCTTTTTTGACCTTTTGTTAAGATTAAGCAGAGTCTTAATTGACTGAAAGTTTATCCTAGGCAGCATTCAATAATTTGTAATATTATTAATAGAGTTGCTGAGATATCACTTTGGGCTCTGTTTGAGTATAAGAGACATTCTTCTAAATTGCGATTGATGATGTATTAGGAAAAGAAGGAGCATAAGTTTTATTAGGTTGTTATTAAGCTTATATGGATTGTTTTGTTGGTTTGGAGCTTTTCCTAGGATTGATGAGTCCAGTTAAGGCAGATTACACAAATTTGGACTATTTCGAATTTGATCTCCCTGAATTCCTTTATTTAAGTGGATCCTATTTGGCAGAATCATAACACTTAGCTGAATCTTATTGTTTGGCTGAATCCAATAATTTAGCACTGTCTTATTGTTATTATTGTGATTTGACTTCTTGAGTTTATGGTCTCTCCCTAATTTGATTGGAATCAGAAACTGGTGGAGGAGAATGCAATTAAGAATTCAAATCTTCCTAATTTCTTATACTATATCGCTTCCTAGTGGCAATTTCTTCATATAGTTTGTCTCTATATTCATTTGCTGAAAACTTCTAATTGTCATCGATGGCTAAAGTGATTATTTTTTCAGATGATGGTTCATCTACTTCATTGTGAAACCTAGTTGTTTATAGGAGTGTAATACTTTGAAAAATAGGGATGAGACAAAGCTTTTTCAGCTGTAAGTCGTTTGTTTGGATTGAATTTCAATAATCGATATATTAAATCCAAGGCATCGTCACTTGCAGTTGGGAACAACTGATGAATGGGCTTCACTTATGGTGGATTGATTGCCTCTAACATTGTCGAGGCCAAGGGACTCTGTATTGCCTCAACATCTTCAGTCGATGGTTTGCCTGTCAATTGTAATATACGATCTAACTAATTTAATGTAGAATTCCCAGGAAATATTGGCTTTCCTGTTAGCAATTCCCCTTTTATGTTATTAATATTAATGATACCTAGAATGCAACCCACACTCCACATATCCACTCCTTTTGTGTAGGTATGGGATCCCAATAATATCTCAGGAGCTCTGTACCATCTGGTTGCCACATATTCAGTCAATATTGGAGAAGGGGCATCTTAACGACATGCTACTGATCTTACTAAACCAAAATCAGCAACTTTAACAGAACAATCACTATTTAACAGAATATTTGAAGGTTTCAAATCTCTATGCAATAATTCCGCTGAGTGCATATACTTGATGCTCTTCAGTATTTGATATATAATGTATTATTTGTGAACTTCTTCCAATATACCTGCTCTAATTACACCATGCAAATCTGTTTCCATGTGTTCAAAAACTAAATATATATCTTTATTGTTTTCTGCCCTATGAACATTATACAGTTTGATAATATTTTGATGATCCAATTCGTAAAGGAACATAATCTCCCGAAATGTTCGTTGAGCATCTGTGGCATTTTAAAATGCATCAAATATTTTTTTCAATGCAACACATGTATTCTTAAATCTTTTGTCTATAGCCTTCCATACCTTAACTTATACAATATTTTTATTACAACTCCATAAGCACCCTTCCCTATCTTTCTAACTATCTCATATCTTTTCAATATATGAGGTTCGATTTCGTCTGACATTATATAATTATTAAATATATATATTCATAATCAAAGTGATTACTTCAAATTCCAATCAAATATCTATCTCCAACCCTCTTAACTACCCTTATTTCTCCGATTTCCTTTACGAAATTCCATATTCCCCTAAACATTTTGTCAATATTTTGAATTCAAAAATCTCCTTCAATTTCCTAATTATTTACAAATAACTTTGTTTTTCTAATCTAAATAACAAATTTTTTTCATTTCCTTTTCTTTACAATTATGCAAATTATTTAAAAATCTTAAAAATTAAATAATTTTTTTATTTTCTTTTAATACCCTATTAGAAATACATGTACTCTTTCTCACTTAATGTGATTTCATATAATTCACATCTCATCGTAGCTAATTTTTGATACTTTTAATAAAGATTTTTTATACTATTTATTATAAGGCTGTAATAAATTAAACTTGATTATATATTTAATATCAATATTGTAATATTTAGGTATTAGATTGACAAATATGGATGTAACCATCATTTTTATTATCATTAATTAATTTATCATTATTTATTATCTTCATCATTTTACTACCATTATTTTATAAAAATCAGTTAAGATTATAGATATTATTCATATTATTTATAAGGAAGTAATAGATTTTGGCTGTCTGCAAGCATACATAAAGCTAGAATGCATTTTTAATCAAGGATAGATCAACTGTTTCTGATGTAATACGTCATTGACTAAAATATTTAAACAGACCAAATTATGAATAGTTAATATTAAATATTAATTTAAAAAAAATGGGATGTACTAGTTCTAATTAAACAACTGATCAAGTTATTTAATAAGTTTCTAAACCTCAAATAAGAGAAAATGTTAAACTTAGAATAGGAGTCAACTTTGATGTATAAAATTCTGAGGCTAGAATGTATTCGATTAAAAAAAATCCCATTGTGTAAAGAAGAATTCTCAAATCAATAAAACCGAAAGTTTCGTTATCAAAATAACAAACAGATGAAACATATGGATCATTTTATTGAAACTCACTTTTCACCCAATCCTCAAAAATGATATATAAATCTATATACTTTAATTTAATTGTCTTATTTGATTAAATCACCCAGTCTAAAACAACTTCCAATACAATTCAAAAGTGATCCCTCTTTATCCAATGAATAATCAAGATATTTTAAAATAAAGAACACGTAATTAATATGAAAAAAAACTAATCATCCTTTTTTATTTCGAGAATCACTAAAATATGCTTGGGTAACATATAATATTGAATTGAATTCTTAAACTTTATAGATACACAATGAATTAAAAATAAGTTCAGTTTGCGAACAAAATTTAAAATTCAGTAAATAAAGAGCCAGGTTTGAAGAAGTTAATTAGTTTTATGAAGAGATAATAAAGTCATCTAAAATGTTTGATAATATTTATCATACTTATTTTTTGTATAAAATTATGAAGAATTACATATAAAATATAAATTCAATATTTCAGAACTTAAAAGGATATTTACCAGCTAAGATTTATAAATTTGCAATTTTTTAATCATAAAACCCATATGAATAGCAATTTTATTAGATGTAATAAAATGGCATTCTTGTGATCAGGATAGTTAAATTATCCTCAACACCATAGTCAATTAATACAAGATTATGGACTTGAGGAAGAAGAAATAATGAATGATAACCAAGGTGGGAATACCATAATTTTCAGTAATTTTGATAATTTCACATACCATATAAATAATATAATAATCAATAAGTATTTATAATCAAATAAAATTTATATAAGAAGATACATCTAATTTAGGATAAATAATAGATCAAAACGAAAAACTGAAGAGCAATAAGATGGCATATTTAGAAGATTTAGTATTGATACTTGATAAGGTTCTTAAATTTGAAATATATTATATAATTTATGATTTTTAAATATTTCCCATATATCTATTATGAAAGAACTAAAGTGTCAGAATAGGTTGGTTTTGATTAGATATTAAATTAAATCAGCAGTGGCTTCACCTAAGTGAGCTAGATTGAGTATTAAATAAAATAGTTTAATTCATTAATATTAACAATTTTTTATTGTGATAAATATAAATATATCATCATGGGAAATATTTGTAAACCTTAGGTTTAGTTACCAGAAGAAAATGAGGTAGATTTAAATAAAAAAGTTGAAATTGAGGAACAAAGGAAAAAAGCAAATCATAAATAAGATAATGTAAATGACTAAAAATAAGACTCTATAACCGACGACCAAAAGCAATAATAGGACAACTAGGATGGATAAAAGTTGAGGAGTGAAAATAATCAAGAAGTACTTTATAAAAATAGTTCTTTAGTTAAAAAGAAGAGAAAACAAAAAGATGGCATAAATAGCAGCTGTTATTGATTAGGAAGTAATATATGAAAATATCTAAAAACAAGATAAAGTGAAAAGTCCTTTTGATTATTAACTATTATTGAATGCATTTTCTAATAGTTTCATATTTGCTCAGTTGTAAGGCGACGACAAGTATCAAAAATTGAATATTATTTTGAGTAAAGGTTATTGATAAAATGTTCTATTGTACAGTGAAAGATTAGGAGATGGTATTTAAATAAGGAGATAAGGGAAGCTCATACTTTTTGATTGAAAGAGGCTAATGTTAAATAATAATAAATAATGATGTAAAGAAAACCTTGAAATCTGGAGAAGCATTTGGAGAATTAGCCTTATTGTACAATGCTCCAAGATCTGCTTCAGTGAAAGCTATTGGAGGTACTAAAATTCTTAATATTTAGACTGTGCCTTTTGGGCCATAGACAGAAATACAGTTAGGAAAGTGATAGAGGAAATCTCGTTGAAGGATTACGAGTAGAATAAGGAGTTTATACAAAAAGTTCAATTTTTTGGTATTAAAATTAAATAATCAAATAGAGTCACTTACTGATGAGTAAAGAACTGCAATTACATCTGTTCTGATAACTCTTAACTTTAAAGCAGGCGAGATAATTGTGAATGAAGGTGATTAAGCCGATTCATTTTTTATAATAAAAAAAGGAGAGATTGAAATATCTAAAGGAGGCAAATAGTTGAGGATCATGCAATAGGGAGATTCTTTAGGTGAATAGGCATTGTAAAGTAACTCTGTAAGAGGGGCAACAGCCAAAGCACATAAAGATGTCATACTATTGGCATTGTCAAGAGATGATCTGACTAGAATATTGGGAGATAAAATATAGACTATTATGTTCTTGAATTTATAAAGATGGGCATTCGAGCGTCATCCTATATTGAAATAACTTACTAAACTTTAAGTAGAAAGGATAGTAAGTAGTATGGAATAAAAATAATTTAAATAAGGAGAAGTCATTTTGGAGAAAGGGTAATAATGCACTCATTTGATCGTTGTTCTTACGGCTAATATGTAGTATGGATAGCAATCGATTGAGAAAGGGTAAATGTTTGGTGATAAGTTTTTGGAATAATAAAATTAAAATTTAACTGATTCTTTGACAATGAAATCAGACGGATTGATAAGTCAGATATAAATTAAAGTCTTTTTTGAAATTATTGGTGGTACTTTAGAACAAATCTTTTTAAAAAATGAGAAAGCACATGATAGATTCATCAAAAAAGAAGAAGGGTAAAAGAAAGATTAGTATGATCATTTTAAATTAGATGAATTAATCTCAATTAAAAAATTAGGTCAAGGTTAATTTGGTAATGTCTATTTAGTTCATAATAAAACAGATAAGAAAAATTATGCTCTTAAATGCATATCAAAATTTTAAATAATTGAATAAAATCTGGAAAAGCATTTGGCCTAGGAAAAACAAACTTTGCAAACTGCCAACTTTCCACTTATTATGCATTTCGTTAAAAGCTTTTAAGATAAAAACTACATCTACTTTCTAGAGGAATACATCAAAGGAATGGAATTATTCGATGTCATTAGAGAAATTGGACTGTTAAATACTTACGATTCTCAATTTTATATTGGATCACTAATTTTATGTATGGAATATCTCCATCTCAATAATATCATTTATAGAGATATTAAACCAGAAAATATTATGGTTGATGATAAAGTAAATAGTAAATTTATTTTAAGGGGTTTATGAAGTTAATTGATCTGGGAACTGCTAAAAATCTTAAAAACAAGAATGGTAGAACATATACTATTATTGGAACTCCTCATTATATGGCTCCAGAAATATTATCTGGAAAAGGATACACCTATTCCGTTGATCTATGGTCTATAGGTATATGCTTGTATGAATTTATGTGTGGTAATGTTCCCTATGCAGAAGATGCAGAAGATCCGTAAATCTTAATTTAAACTATGTAGATATGATATTTACGAGGAAATCTAAAAAAAAGCTTTGAGCTTCCCTTCTGTTCTCAAAGATCGAAAGGCTAAAAAACTAATCGAATAACTCTTAAGCAAGACTCCTGAGTTGAGATTAGGATCATCATATGCAAGCTTAAAAAACAATTAATTCTTTGAACACTTTGATTATGATTCGTTAATGAACAGAGATTTAAAGCCTCCCTACCTTCCGCCCAAGAGCAAATTATAAAGTGACAAGGAAATCTAAAAAGCAATCTAGGCTGGGAAACTAATTACTGAAGAAATCAAGGTATCATCAATCTCTATTCTTAGAGTGATCCAACAACAACTAATAACATATATAAACCAGAAAAAGCCAGAGATCCTAATTGGGATAAGGATTATTGAATAAAAATTTATTTCTTATGCTATGACCACAAAATTTATAAATCGTTAATAATTCAAAAAAGAATAGAAGTGGAATCTTAATATTTCAGTAGAGCAAATTCACAATCTAAATTTTATAATATTTATTTATTATCCAAAGGGCAATTTTTCAATTTCAATGATTGAAAACCTTAGCATTCAATTAAGAGTACTTAATTGTCACCCAATCAATTTCTATTCTTATTTAATACATTTTGATCTGAAAAATTAAAATTCCAAAAGATTTACTTAAATTGTTAGATAATAGATAATTTTTTAAATAAGGATCCACTAATTTTCCCAAGATCCATTAATCCTATCCAATATATTTTTTAATGATAATTCTATGTAAAAGATTGTTATTTTCTTGCTTTATTTTAACTTTTATTCTTAGTTTATAAATTTTTTTTTAGGTAGCTTTCTTTATTCAGTTATTATATAGCATAAACATTCTAAAATGCAGCTTTATAATTTAATTCATTAACCTATACTTCTATCTCAATTAAGTTAACTCAATTTTAGTTGCATAATGAATAATAATATTGTAAATTTTATTTAATATTCAACAATTCTAGTGCATATTCTCTCCCCAAAGATGTAGCATACATAATTAAAGCATCAAACCTTTATTTCAAATAATTTTCTATTCATTAAATCACTAAACTTGTTCAAGTGTTTATGACTATAAGATAGTTATTTTATCTCCAAAATCTTATCTTTGTTATTCGTTACTTTAAGACCATTAATTCGACATGTAATTCAAAGAGAGATTAAGATGTCTGGAATATATGAAGTCATCAATTCTGCGTATTATAAGGTATTTCAATTTTGATAGTTCCATATCATTCAAGCACATAAATGACTATCTAATAGCTTTACATAATGTTATTCAGCTATTTATGAAGAATATAAAGTTCAAGGGAGTATGCGTAAAGTAATTAATTTAATTAGTATGATTAAGATAACAAGCCCACTGTTAAATTATAGATTCAAGATGCTAAGAGTTTAATGTAAACCTTATGATAACGTTGAACTAATCAGAGATCAAATTATGGATCTTATGAATGAATATCTTTAAGAGAGTGATGGGTAAGAGTGCTTATTTATTAATCAAGAAAACTATATCAATGTTAAGGTCATTTCAAATAATCAGATTGCTTTGTATTTTGTAACAGGAACAGAAATGGACGATACGAATTGGGAATAATAAATTAGTAGAGGTCCATTATAAAAATTTACTATTTTATCAAATTCCATAGAAATTAGACCTTCACGATTTTGAATTGATTTATAAAATTGATAATTTCTATATTTATTTTTAATTATACACAATGGGAAATAACTAGTCATAACATAAAAATCATCCCAAGCCGAAAAGCAAGAAGAAGGAACAATTTAAGAAATTATTTGTAATAAAGAAGGACATGTAAGCATCTAAATCATATATTTAGTAACTTTTCCAAGTTATCATAAAAAACTTTATCGCTGATTACATGCTTTTTAAATGTTTAAGAGTTTAACAATCTCCTTTAAGTGTCGAAGACCACATATTAAATATTTAGTTAAACCTCCGGTTGCTTTTAAATAGAGTGTTAACGACTCTTAAATGTTAAATGTGAGTTAATATAATCCAAAAATTGGAAATTAATATTATAAAGTGTGATGAGTATTCCAATAAGAACATTGCCTTATGGAGAAGCAATTAAAAGCGTAAGATATTAGATAAATTAATTTCCAATGTTTATAGAATAGAAAATAAATTACAGTGGATTTCAGAAAGCCATTCTATATTATGAAAATTAACTTAATGAATAAAAATAAATAATTAAGACTGCCGATTACATTGAAGCACTACACTTCGCATCTAATAACACCGATATACTATTAAGAGTAAGGTAGGGCTTTGAAATCCATACACAATTGCCAGAACTATTAATGTTAATATATAATTTGCACGATTATGTAAAAATCTTTTGTCAATATTTGGAAATACGATTTTCTAAATGTAACTTAGAATAATTTGTTCAGATTTGGCAGCATTACTAAGGATGGATAAGTTCAGTAGAAAAATAGACATTTGATCTAATATTCCTATTTAATAGAATAATTGACGAGAGCTTGCCTTAATACAAGTTACCAAAATATACAATTAGGCATTTCATGGTATGTGAATGGATGAAGAAAGCTGATAAAGGAGAACTCATTGTTAAGTTAAGGGAAGACTTTAGATTATAAATGATAGAATCTAGAAATAAAAACAATAAATCTTAGTTATTGAGATAATACATACAATATCTTGTTGATATTAGCACTAATCAAAATAATATTCAAAAGTATGGCTATTATAACTTCTAATATTGCTAAGAACTTAACTAATTAATTAATTTAACTATAGATTTAACCCCTAAATTAAATGTTGAGTACCAATAGGATGAGGAATTATTAATTTATATATTTGGATAGTATGTATATGATTACTATGTATTTGAATTATCATCTGCATTTAGAGTGGACCAGTTTAAATGCGAAATTAAACAATTTCATTCAGAAAGTCAATAGATGTCAAAGATTTTAGTTAAAAATTTTGATGATTAAAATGTTTAGAATAATTAATTTGGTAATGAAGTTTAGAATTTCAAATACCATTTATAGTCATAATATAATGTGTAGTTGAGAATAAAATCTATATTTAAATAAGTAACTGTTATGGATGATGATATTAACAATTCGTCTGAGAATATTATAGCAGAAAGCTTAGGAATGTCAGGAATTTCATTAACATCTACAAACTGCAGCTCTATCTTTTCGAGCGTAAAAAATAATGATTAATTATATCATTATATCAGGTCCTATTAAAAAGACTTGTTTAATAAAATTTAAAAGTTTTGTTGCAAATAACAAGATGTGTATCAGTATTCCCTAGAATAAGAACCGAGTAGTGAAGTTATATATGATGTTCCTGAATTGGCTGAGTATGATTATATTTAGCTATAAAATCTGATGGATTTATTTTACAATAGAATTCAGAGATCAAATGCTGTTTATTAATTAGAAAGAAGATAAACTATTTTGACATCTAACTACCAGAGTAATCAATAATAAATCTAAACTTAATCACTTAATCAAGCTGAATAACTATTAAAATGTCTTTTAAAATGAATTTTAATTATTGTTTATTGTATTTTTGTAACTTGGTAATTTCAATAACTAAAATTTATCTGAAAATATCTTTTTTCTAATTAAGTAAAGTAAATTGATCATCAAATTTGAATGTCTGAATTTAAAACACTATTCTTTACAAATCATAGCATTTTATTTAATAATATAACAATTTTAATTCTAATTGAATATTATATATTGTAGAATTGGTAATAAAATATTAATATAACATAGATAATCATTACTTATACCATCACACTATTTTGCCAAGTGCATTTTTCATGTTTTTGAAATTATTTAATACTTAATTTAATTTGAATTCAACTTAATCTTTCTCCATTTTAATCTATTTGACTGCTTAAAACAAAGTCTATGTTTTATGCTCCTTCTCTTTATTTAAGTCTTCTAACTCTTTTTCCTTTTTTTACAATGATGATATTTATGATTTTTAATCAAAATTTAATTTATTTAGAGTAAAGATTTATTCCTCAGCCTTAATGACTCTCTCTTCAAATCTTTTTGCTCTATCTTGGATATAGTACTTCATTTCTTTTTAAGAATCTAATTCCACCTTCTAATCATCTATTATGGATTTTAATTAATAAATTTATTTGTTTTATTGGAGAAGGAGTTTTGAGAAGTAATTACACACTTATTATAATTATTAGGATTCCAAGTGCAAATAATTCCCATGAGCTACAAATTTAGAGAAAGTCATTTGTAAGGCTTGCATAAAATCTTAGATTGTAAATTTTGGTTGGTACGTAGGTGTTGGAATGCACTTTCTACCAGTTTAGAACAATTGGTAGTTAATTTATGAACTCTTTTTAACAAGATCAACCATATCTCTTCTTGTTTATAAAATCTAATCTTTAAGAAAAGGCACTGATAGGGATTCTAGAATTACTTAATCAATGTCTTTATATTCTAATTGAAGTTGGATCGACAAATCGCTTAATGATTTATTTTATTTGTTTTGTTAAGATTAGGTGGAATTATTATTAATATTTTTGCTTGAGGATTACGTATTATTTGATTATGTTTACTATTTGTTTTTAGTGAATTAGGTATTTTATAATTATGGTGAAGCCTGCTATTTTATTTATTATTATTCATCAGATTCTCCTAAGCCTAACAAATCTTCATTTTGATAAACAGAATCATTTTGTGATATTTATTATGGCTATTAAATTTATTACTGATTTTAGAATTTGCCTTCAATCAATTCAAAGGCGTCATTAAATATTTCATTCATGTATTATCCAACATTGAATTTGAAAACTAAAAATTTAGCTATTCCAATTTAAATAACTTCTTCAGGGACTTAAAATACCATATCATTAAAATAACTAAATAAAATGGTTCAATTACTTCGACTCCTTCTTTAAATACACAACTTCTTTGTTTAAAACTTAGGTTCTATAATTAACAATGTAATTTAATAAGGATCGATTATTTTAAATGATGAAATACATTTGTTTACTTGTCAACATTAAGGCAAATATATCTTTAGGTTCTAAAAAGTATAAGATAGTTGATTTGAATTTCTAAGTCAAAAGCGTATAAATGTTACTATCTTAATATTGTTAGTTCAAAATATTATAAGCACCTTTGATAAACAAAGCACCTGCTCTTATATCTTTCATCTATTCTAACTCTAAGGATGTCATAAGGTTGTTCTTTTCTGTCCTTGCAAGTTTAATTTCTAATTCATTAACTCTTTATTAAAACTGAGTAGTAGATTTCAACAATAGATCATTTTGTGATAGATATTTGTTATTGATTTCTTCCAATTCCTTATTTCTCAGCTTTAATTATTCGCATTCCCTAACTAAATCAACTTGACGTTACTCATAATTATTTTTGATCTATGAATATGGTGTGATCATATTACTTCATCCATTTGTTGCATGTAAGTGTCCTCAATATTTTTAATAATTTATTCTTTTGACAAAATAGCTTTGATCTAATTCTGCAATTGCAACTTGAGACTATCGATTTCGTTTTATTGCGACTAATAATCATTGATGATTTCTCTCAGACCTTTCACATTATCCTTGACTGATTGAAGTTTTTCAGCTCTCTCTTTATCTATGCTAATATGGAATAAGAATGAAGTCAATACATCTGTCTGGTTTGCTTGTTGTATAGTTTGTCTAGGTCTTTTTGGAGTGAAGAGTCCATAAAGATCATGAATTTGTATTGGGTTGGTTAGAGAATGATCATTGGTTGTGCAGACTCATCTTGTTTAATTTATTATTTCATTATTATATATTTAATTTAATTAACGAATGAAGTATTTCCAGAATGGATTGAACCAAATTTGTCAATAAATTATTCGACCCGCAAGAGCCTAATACACCTTATATGATTTGTGTAAGTTTACTTAAGATTATGAACAGCTTCCTTCTAGATTCAAGAGGAAACCCAATACATGAGGGAAGATTTCGATATCATCAATCCTAGATAAGAAGTGATCAAAGTTAGTTAATACATAGGCTAATAAAAAAGTGATGTTTGCATCATTTATCTGCATACAGCCAATGGTTCTAGAATGGAAGTGAGCAAATATGTCTCAATGATTATTAAAAATGGGTTTGGTTTAATCTCATTTGATTTCACTGGATCTGGAATGTCTGATGGAGAGATCGTGACCTATGGACACAGAGAAGTTGAAGACTTGTAAACTATTATTACTCACTTCCAATCATCCTATAAATAAATCATTCTATGGGGAAGATCTATGGGCTCTGCTATTGCTATTCAGTACATGCAAAAATTCAATAACTTAATTATCAAAGGAATGATTTTGGACAGTCCATTCGTTTGTTTACTAGATGTAAATAATAAGCTCTAATAGGATTAGGTGATCTTGCAAATGGCATCCAGCAGAACCAAAATTCCCAATTTCATTTTGAAGAGTCTGTCAACATTTGTGTCTAATGAACTCAAAAAATAAGCTGGATTTGATTTAGATGAAATTAATTGCATAAAAAAGATCTCTTAAATCAAATGTCCAGCTATTTTTGTGACTTCCAAACAGGATGCAATTGTTCCACCTGAATAAACTGAAAAACTATTTAAAGCTTATACTGGTATCAAAAAAATTTAATACATAAATCAATAACACAATGGCATAAGGGACCATTCTTTTATTGAAACTCTTATCCAGTGGTTTAAGAAGAGAACTCCTATATTTGAGAGACTGGGAGTGGGCACTTAGATCAAACAAAAAATAATGCATAAATCCAAAAATACCTTAGGATCAATTAAGTAGGTTTCATTGGATCTCTACAAGGAAAGATCATCAACTCTAGAACGTTTTAATATAATATTTATTTTAGATTAAAGAAGTCTGAACGATTCAATATCTCCCAGGTAGAAGATCATAGATCAAAAGAAACCAACTGCAGAGGAGAAGTATAACCAATTACTAGAAACCTAAAGGTCTCTTTATGTAGATAGATCTGCCTCTGCACAAAGAATTTAGATCAGCAACTCTATTGATTATTAGATGTCTCCAATGCCTTTAGCACCTTTGAGCAATAAAATTATCACTTCCTCGTAACACAATTACTTCTCTCATTCAAAACCTATTACTTTCACTAAGGTCCCTCATAAGACAAAAGATGGAACGCATTTTTGATTTAATTTGTATGATAAAATTATTTTTTAAAATTAATTTGGTCTCCTTTTTCTTAAATTTCATATATAAACAGTTAAATACTTGAGTATCGCATTAAAGTTTGAATCTAAATATCAATTAAATTAAATTAAAATATAAAAATTAAAATGGGATAGGCATGTTAATAATGCAAAGCTTTCTCAGGCAAGGAAGAGTTTGATATAAAGAACATGAATGAAGAATTGGGAGATGAGAGTCCTGATGTAGAGCAATCCTTTTTGGACGAGGAGGATGAAGCTAGAAAACATAGTATTTACGATAATTTATAGGAAAGACAAGCCACCTTCTTTAGATAATTTTAATAAAAGAGGAATGTTTAGAAAGGAAGATACATATGATTAAAATGATGGAAAACTATCCGCCACAATAGAAAACAAAGAAATAGCCTTAACTGAAGAACTAAGAGGAGAAGAGATGATTTTAGTTGATGGATCAAAATATTAGGGTAATGTTGTTGATGGAAAAGCAAACGGAAAGGGAAAAATATGGTTAAATAATGGTGATATTTATGAAGGAGACATAGTGGACAGTATCATGCAAGGAAATGGTGTCTATTATTTTAATAGGGGACCTATTTACAGTGGATAATTTAAATAAGGGAAAGCTAATGGGATAGGCAAGGAGATGTGGCCAGACGGGTCAATTTACGAGGGACAATTTAAGAACGGTAAAAAGCATGGTTAAGGAATATATAAGTGGAGTTAAGGTTGCTGTTATGATGGAGAGTGGTTTGAGAATATGATCCAAGGTCAGGGAAGATATGAATGGTCAGATGGTAGGGTAATTTTATTAATGAATCTATAGTGTTATATTGGAAGCTGGATTAAGAATCAAATGCATGGGAGAGGTAAATACTAATGGAAGGAGGGAAAGTATTATGATGGAGAATATGAATTTGATAAAAAATGTGGTTTCGGAATTTTTGTCTGGCCAGATGGCAAATAATATCAGGGATACTGGTTCGATGGTAAACAACATGGAAAAGGAATAATGATCAATAAAGAGGGAAAGAAGAAGTTAGGGGATTGGGCTGATGGGAAATTAATTAGTTTCAATGAAGAAACTAATGTAGAAATCATTCCAGAAGGTTGGATTGATAATGTTTGATTTTTATTTTATTTTTATGCAATTACTTAGTTTTAAGAGATTCAATTTTAAATTACCATTTTATTTTTAAAATTATATGGAATTTTGGGCTGGTTTTCAAGAAAACTTTTACTATTATTAATAATAAATATTATAAATAAATGGCTAATCCTCACATACCTGTTGAGTTCAATAAAGATGATGATGAATTGAAATGTCATCCTTCCCAAAGTGGTTCCACTGCCACTCCTACCCTCTTTGAGAATTCAAATAATTCTAAAGTGTTCTGTGCATAGTTTTTTGAAGACCAACTGCATCAAGATGGTACTTTCGATTTCATATATTTAAGATGATGAGTTCGATGAACTCAACCAGTAATTAAACTAAGTGTTACTTAACGATTCATTCAAGCCCTCACTTACCTAGGCTTTTACAGCTGACATGTAGATTTATTTTTAAAACGATTAGGTCATCATATCTTAGTCATGAGAAGCTGACCAAAAATTCTAGAAAGATGTAATTAGAATATTAGAATGCCACTTTGAGGGAGAAAGAATTTGTATTCAACACTTATATAAAAAATGACATTGAAAACTTTAGTCTTGATAAGTACAAACATTACATCCTTGAAAAAATCATTGAAGTTGGTATATTTGGAGTATTTATGGTTTAGGTCCCCCATCCCACAAAAATCTTATATTAGATCGAATCTATAATCAAATACATAAACTCATCAAAGATCTCTATGCATGCAAGGTTATGCAAAAGGGTTTGGAAATCATGACATGCAATCCCAAAGACTCCCAAGAATAACTGGAGAATTATCTTTACTTTATACATTAGGACAACGCATAAATGAAGAAAATCTACGTTGACAAAATTGCTAATCAAATTATTTAAAAGAGTTTGGAAATCTTGGAAGGAAACAATCTATTGAAACTGCTCTAAATCCTATCGAAATATGTAAAAATGGAATAATATTCTTAGATTCTCAATAATAACAAAGAAAAGTTCGAATTATCAACAGATCAATATGGATGTCTGATTGTCAATAAGATAATTGACATCTATCCAAAATAGTTTGATATCTAAACCAAAACCATTTGTAACGATATTATAGTCAGAGCTATCGAAAATTGTTCTTGTCTAACAAGAAGATAGTATGCTAACTATATTATTTAATAAATATTGGAGAAAGGACAAGAAGTCCATAAAAGATTGCTAATGGATCAATATCTCATTAAAGACTTCATCTCAATGTCTATGGATAAATATGGTAGTAATGTAGCAGAAAAGGCTATCATCTATGCTGGACCACAGTGGAGATTGAAATTATGGGAAGAAGAAGTCTCTATTTCTGAGAGGTAGATAATTTTTTGATATATAATTCTAGTTCATTTAAGAAATTGATTAATGATCAATTTGCCAATTATCCAGTATAGAGACTATTCGAATATTTGGAACAATAATAAAGAAACGAATTTATTGCTTTGCTGAATAAATTACATGAGAACAATCAACTCAACAATCATGGATAAATTGTTATGAAGTTTGCTTTAGCCAATTATTCTGTTAAAAGATATACTCAAAAGATTGTCTAGTCAGAGTTAAACAAATAAAGCAAGAATTAAGATAAAAATAATAATACTAACAATAAGCAGTAGAAAAATCAGAAGTAACAATAAAATCAATAAATTCCTCAATATTAATATTAATAGTAATAATAGTAGTAATAATATCAACAATATCAATAATATAATCAATAATAGATGCAATAGATGCTCTTAAAATAATAACAACAATTTAAATCATTTGATCAATAATCATATCAAGCTGCTGTTATGCAACAAATGCTATTCTTCTAACAACAATAATAACATTTATTAGCTTAAATGCCATAATTTTATAATTAGGATGCAAATTATATGCCCTATCCAATTATGTCATAAGAATAATAAATGATGATGTTAAGATGGATTCAACAGTAGCAACAACTTTGCAATTCAAATATTAAATTCCAAAATGAATAATAAAAATGACAATCATGTAAATGATAAATATATATATTATATTTATAATCATAATTCATTCTGTAATGTAAACAAAACTAAAACGTTGATATCACACACATCATTATTAAATGCTTAATTGTTTATACTTCATAAAGATCAATATATCATTAAATACATTGTATAATCAATTATATTCAGAATTAATTCCTAATCGAATAAGTAATGAAATGATTGAGAAGAATAAATCTATTATTGAATTTTCAATATTTTAAAGGTTTTTTATGAAATCACATGAAAAATACGAAGAAAAATATTATGTATTCTAAACAATCAGATTAGGATTAAAATGAAAGTATTAATCAAAACAATAGTTCTCTATGAAGGAATTAAGATAGTTTATTAAAAATCTAAATAATAAATCTAATGATTTGATATTGAGAGATATTTGTATAAAAAGATAGATCCAAAATAATTTATTTATTTTATCAATTATTTAAGAATAGACACCAAGAACAACTATCTAGATAAGCATAATAATATTATTTGGGTATTATTGAATTATTTATATATAATACACCTTAAGATTTATAAGTGGCTAATCTTTTTGTAATTATAATTGTAAGAATACAATAAGCCTTCCCTTTTATTTACTTATCATTGCATTCAGAGTTCATTAATATATAAATCAAGATGAGCCTGCAATTATTGCATTGTAATTGTTATTTTTTTAAATTTAAAATGACACAAGACATTTCAAAAGAAGTGCTTGCTCTCTCCATCCATGTCGCTGCAGCTGCTTCCTAAATCACCATCTAAACTCAATAGAGAATGAATTTAGTTACAAATAGTGTTATAGAGAGTGTAGACTAGACTCTGAAGATCATAAATTCTTTATTTATGCAATCTTAAAAACATTCACATTTGGATGCAGTTATAGAGGAATTTGATGAGGATTGTGGTAAGGATTCAAAAACGAAGGAATTCTATAAGAATGAATAACAAAATGCAATTGAAAATGAACAATTGGATTAAATTAGAATTGAAAATTTGATATCATAAGAAAATTGCAATCCAAACATGTCAGTCAAATCAACTAATTCAAGTTGCTTAAGTGTTTACAAATCAAAAAATAATAGTTAGATAATAGAAGAGTATCCACAAAATAAAAATCACAGAAATGACACTCCAATCTAATAGAAGAAATAGTCACTGCTCTCATAATAGCTATCTTAAATAAAGGTTGATAAAGAAAAAGAAGCATAAGAATAAAAGGAATTAATGCTCCTTATTGACTAAGTTGATCCAGGCGAGCTAATTCCCTAATTGAAATCGATTGAGATGGTCGACCAATATCAAGAGGAGAATTCAAATCAATTGGATACCTTTGCAAACTTTGAAGAACCATTTATTGTTTTAAATGCAGAATAATGTTAAAAATAAAAAAACACGTCTCCAAAAAGATCAGAATGGTATGATAGCTCTTCAGTTGAATATAAGGCTACATCTTATAATACCAACGAATCCTCTAATTTGGATCATCACTCTTATAAATGGAAGAGTAGCAGTATTGAAGATGAAAATTTATTGCATAATTGCGAATTTCAATTTTAATCCTCAGTTTTTGATTTCCCATTTCCAGAGGACTTTTGTACAAATAGTATAAATGTGTAATAGAACTTTTAACAACTAGAATGTAAAAACTAATTTACTCCTAAAAAGAAGAGACTATACTGTAATAATAAAAAGGTTCCTCATTGGGCAGAGAATTTAGAGGTATTAATATTCTGAATTTTTTAGAAAGTTTAGCAATATCAATCTTAGTAAGATCATTTATCTTAACATTAAATCTTTGGTAAAATGAAGAACAGAGTTTTAGAGATTGCCAAATAGTTTTCAGAAAGTAGATATCATAGAAGAGGAAGTTCAGCATAATGGGAAATTCCTAATAAGACTTTTGATGTGATGTAAAAACAGATGAAGAAACTTTAATAAATATAAGATGATAATATATAAAAATTGTAGTAACATTAAATAAATGTAATAATAATCATTTATGATAGTCTGCATAGAAAAATTAAGGTTTAATTGCAAAAACCCAATATTTTTTAACTAGTATCAAAAAAAAAATCCTCAATTCATTTGAGAAAGATTCAAAATATAAAATATGATTTTATCAAATTTATCTTTGTTTAAATAGAATTAGTTTCATAACAATAAAATAATAAAAACTACTCCTTTGTTCAAATTTAATTTAAAAAATATTGTAATATTCTTAAATTCTACATTTTTGAATTTTATAATTTGCTTTTTATTTAATTTATAGATTGATAAAAATATAATAATGTATCCTTAAGATTTACATTATTTCAATAATATCAACTGAGACAATCTTTTGATTTGATTAATAAAGTTTAAATAATTAGTTGTTTTATTAAATTCATTATTATATAATATTATAATGAGGAAGGTTTTACCATCTATTATGAAGCATGTAAGTGAAAGATTTAACAACTTAAAAGGTAAATCAAACAGAATTTGGAGGACCAAATGTTCTTAAATTAGGAGAATCCTTAATACCTAAACCAAATTAAAACTAATCTCTAATTGAGATTCATTCAACATCTATCAACAGAGCTGATACACTATAGAGATAAGGCAAATATCCTCCACCAAAAGGAGTCACAAATATTTTAGGATTGGAATTTGCTGGCTATGAACTTGATACTGAAGGGAATAGATTAAGGAGAGTCATGGGAATATTATCAGGTGGAGGGTATGCCTAATATGTTGCAGTTAATAAGGATCATTTAATAGATGTCCCTTCTAACATACCATTGGATGCTGTATAATCAATTCATAATTATAGGCTGGTGGAATTAGTGAAATCTATTTGACAGCATATTTATAATATAAATTATCAGAATTAAAAAAAGGGAACTCATGTTTAGTGTATGCAGCAGCTTCGGGAGTTGGCTAAGCTACCTTATAATTATGTAATCATTTTGGAGTAATTGGAATTGCCAGTTGTTCACAATTAAAAGTTTAGAAAATCCAACAATACACTAATTATATTGTTCATAGAGATTAATCGATTAAAGATTAAATTTCACAGATTAAATAGTATCAACCTTAAGGAGTAGCAGCAGTTTTCGATTGTGTTGGCCAATAAAATTATCAAATGACTTTAGAGACCTTAGGTATGGATGGTAAATGGATTCTCTATGGTTTATTGACAGGAGGTTCAATTGAAAAATTCAATCTTGCTCCATTATTGGCAAAACGAATTAATCTAATCAATTCAACACTAAGGTATCTTAAGTTATGATTGCATAAGATCACGCTCTGATTAATTTAAGGCAGAACTTGCTAAGGATTTTACAAGGACCATTTTGCCTGTTATTGAAAATGGGTAAATTGCCATTCCAATACAATCTGTTACCAAAGTATAGTGGAATGAAGAGGGAATCAATTAAATTATTCGATTACATACAGAAATGGAACAAAACAGAAATGTAGGAAAATTAATAGTTTCATTTTAAAATGATTGATTTAAAGCATAGCTAAATTTAAATTTTATCATGATTTTTCTGATATTTAAGTTACTTTGTTGTGATAATAAAGTGACAATAATTAATATTATATATATATTGTAATATCAGAGGAATATTGAAGAAAACAACTCTAATAGTTTCAATTTGATCAATTATCAAATATTCAATTTCTTGTTTCTAATCAGAAATTTGGTCATACCTGTACCTTTCATTATGAATAAATTTAAGCAAAAAAAAACTAGGTTTTATATGATCATTACATTTCATCAAATGGGAAACTTTTATATGAAGAAATTAAAATCTACTAAATTGAATCTACTTAAAAGTATTTAAATAGCCCAAATGATAATTGGACATAATAAAAGGATGCTTAACTTTCTCATTTACCTTCAGGATTTAAAAGAATTTTTAGGTGAATATTGAGTAGACCCATTTAATAAAAAAAATCCTAAGATTATATCAAAATTAATGTAATTTTACGATTTTAAGGGGCTTAAAGTTACTTAAACAAATGGTACATACAACTATTAATAAAATGGATGCAATTCAATGTTGAAAATATAGATGGTTGTCAATTAGTCTTGAGAATCTATAATATTAGTCAAAAAAGTCTAAAAAGCAATGTAAAATTTGAAATTCAAGGTGAATGCATAAATTATGTACTTTTCATTTAATTTTTTCTTTATTAATTAAATCTTTAGTTACTTTTTGAGAATGGAAAAATATAGTCAACTTTATATTAATCGTTTGAAGAATAACTAATTATAAAATAAAATAAAATTATAAAATATCACAAATTCTATGTTAACCTATCAAGCATTTCCTCTAAATCCTAGTTCAGTTTTCCAGCAAGTTATTCGATTGCAATAATAAACTGAAAGAAATCCATTTAATTAGTATTGCATGATCTCAAGATAATCTTCCTGAATAGCAAATCGTAATCATGTTTCAGAAAAGTCTAGGAAGTCATTTATGGAAAGCTTGCTAATTTCTAAAACTTCGAAGAGTTCAAATATTCTTGAAATTTGTATCCAGACAAAAAACCATAAAGCTACATCATCTTTGAGAATATAGTTTCAGTTGAATCTACATCTAATTTTCGATAACTCTAGAAGCCTGGAAGTTCTTCTTAATCTTCAGTTGGCATCATGGCTAATTTAATTGCATCACCCAGAACTAACTCTTTAACATAACTGTCAATCAAAGATTCTTCAAAAACAGATTTGCCATTTGCTGAAAAAACTTCGTGTTCAATTTAGAGACTTGGATTGGAATTGACTTCTAATAACCATGGTTTGCCTTTCTCATCAATTAGAATATCAAATCCCAAGACTTAAAAACACTTGACTTCATCAAACTTTTTTTGAAAGACTAATTTTTAATTGAATGCAAGAAATGGAAGTAAACTCTTTAAGTAGGATACAACCAAACTTTCAATTTCATTCTCGATATCTTAATTATTGTAACCCTAGATTTCTAGATTCTTCTTGATGGATGAATAAGTTCTTTTGGTTCCCTCATTTATATCTAAGATGTTCTTACCGTTGAAAACTTGGAAATTGTTACTTCTCTTATTAAGTGAGTAGTTGGTTAGATGCATAAATGAGTTCCTGATGTTTTTATCATTAGGTTTTTCGTAGTCCACAGTGCAAAATCTGGCGAGTCCTTCCATATTGATGTAACATAAATAGGGGTCTAGAGATGTAATGAGAACATATAATCTCAAATCGAATTTCTTTTTGTCTATTAAGAGAGGTTTTGAGATGTATTGTTGGATGACTATACTCTCATTGGTCTTTACTTCTTTTAAGTTTTTTAGCAAGTAGATTCCATCCCCTTAAGATCCGGCATCTGGTTTTGCAATGTAAGTTCGAGTGTTTTTATATTCTTTTTAAAATTTATCCAGTTCATCTGGTATGATGTAGGTTTTAGGAAAGAACTCATATTCGTCTGGAAAATACTAAGCGAATTTATTCAAATAAAATGATGACTGTGTCTTGTGAGCCAATAAATCCATTCCTGGATAGCGGTTAACATTTTATGAGAAGTACTCGTCATAATTTTATTATTTAAATGGCAATCCTAGCAAACAAATGTCGCCATCATTAAAAACTTCTTTCCAATTGTTCTTTGCAATTAGTTTACGTATTAATCTGGTTTCCCCTCTACAATTGGTGGTGTTGACTTTTATGACTTTCTGCTTTTTATATTGGTCTTGTTATTGTTGGAAGTTTTCGTAATTGGTTTTGAATTCGTCGACTTGTTATTCGGTGACTGTCAAGAGATCGTCGTTGTTTTGATTCCATGGGGAGATATCATGAGGTTATTATTACATATGGATTGAATTAATTTAATTAATGAAATTATTTAATAGTAGGAAATCGATTATAAAGGAGTAAGAATAAGAATCTGATAAATAACGATAGATAGGAGATTATCTGTTAGGTTGGTGTTTAGGTTTACAGTAGTTAAAACCCTTGGATTGGGTACATTTGGTTTAGTCAAATTGGCAATTCATTAAATAACTTAAGAGAAAGTAGCAATTAAAATTTTGGAGAAATCTAAGATAATAGATGTTGCAGATGTTGAAAGAGTCTCTAGGGAGATACACATTTTGAAATTGATCAGACATAAACATGTGATTCAATTATATGAGGTATTGAATGAAAAATAATCAAAGATAATTGAAACAAAGAAATACATATTTTTGGTTATGGAATTCTGTGATGGAGGAGAACTATTTGATTACATAGTCAAGCATCAGAAGTAATTATTATCAAACATTAATAAAGACTCTCTGAAATCGAGGCATCCAAGTTTATTTAGGAGTTAATATCTGGAATTGAATATATACACAAGTTGAATATAGTCCATCGAGATTTGAAACCAGAAAATCTGCTATTGGATTATCAAAAGAGTTTGAAGATTGTAGATTTTGGATTAAGTAACACATATAAACAGGGAGAACAATTAAAGACTGCTTGTGGTAGTCCATGTTATGCAGCACCTGAAATGATACAAGGGAATAAGTACAATTCCTTATTGGTTGATATTTGGTCTTGTGGAGTGATCTTATTTGCATCCATTTGTGGCTATTTACCATTTGAAGATGTAAACACTTCAGCTCTTTATAAAAAAATATTGAATGGAGAATATAAAATTCCTAATTTCGTGTCTCCCGAAGGCACAAGTTTTCTGAAAGGAATTTTGAATATTAATCCAGAAAAGAGGTTTAACTTAGACTAAATTAAATCTCACCCATGGTTTAAATTGTATCGCAGATCTCACCCCATACCACCAGGGATTATTATTGGTTATCACAGAATCCCTATTGATAATAATATTGTATCACAATTAAAGGAACGAGGATTTAATGAAGATTATGTAAAAATATGTTTGGATGCAAACAAATAAAATAATGTGACAACCTCATACTTTTTATTAATGAAGAGACATTTGATGAATGGAGGAATGTCAACATCAGATATAAATTCTGTGCATTTTGAACCTAAATTATTAGAACCAATTCAACGCACTTAAAAGGGTAATCCGCATTATTCTATATATTGTAGCACCTATTCTTGGCTTTTTAGATGAATCTATGCTCAAAACATTGAATTCTAATCGGTCTTAATCCAATTAAAGTCGTAAGAACAAGAAAATGAATACATAATAAAATAGAGGACATTATTATTTGTAGGATGAGAAGTTAAATAAATCAATCCAGTTGAAATAATCACATCGCTAAGATAGTTTGGACTCAGACGAAGAGTTAAGCAAACCCTTTTCTCAGAATGTTACATCCAATGTGAAAAAATAGAAGGTTAGAACTGAATCAAATTATAATGCTGATTAATCATTGAATTAGACGACTATGATTGCTGGTAAAAGACAATCCATTTCACCTGCCAATGCCAATCTTATTTTGTAATACATCAGTAAATCAATATATCTAAATATTTAATTAGAACAATAAAAAAAACTAACGCCTACTTCCATTAGAAATTCATGTCAACAAAAACCAAATATATTATCTTTGAATTATCAAAGAAATGTTTAAACTATTTATGATCATGAAGGCTTGAAGATTATGAATTCAAACAAATAACAACCCAATGAGTAAAAGAGAAGCTAAAATAACTAATGGATGCCCTCGACCATTCTGAATCCTTATTAATTACTGTTATAATTGAATTCAAGGAAAGGATCTCGAGATTTAAGTGCTCCTCATTCAACTAAATGCGCAAACAATCCAAAAAGTAAATCCATTAATAGACAATTTTGATTATACTAATCAATAATTATATTAAATGAATTTCTTTATGAATCTCTTTGGACAGGGTTCCACTGGGCCATAACCAGAGAGTTACGAGATTAATGGTCAGGAATATCACGAATTGAATTTAATTGCTGAAGGAGGATATGGCTTTATTTGGAGAGCAATTGAAACTAAAACTAAGAAGTTTTGCGTTATTAAGAAAATCATTTGTCAAAGCAAAGAGGCAATTCAATAAGCGTAATTGGAATTAGATTTGCATGTAATTTATGCATATTGATATTTCAAATAGAGACAACTCCAACATCCTAACATTGTCAAATGCTACAATGGAGTAATCAAATTTAATAAGAAATTAAATCAAACTATTGCATATATGGTTTTAGAATTGTGTGAAGGTGGAACATTAATTGATTTGCTGAAAAGGTACAATGAAAAAAGGTTGAGTGAATAATAAGTACTCCTAGTATTAAAAGTTATTTTTCACTTTATCATAGTAATTAGTCTAAGCAATCAAATATCTTCACACCTAAAAACCTCCTATCACTCATAGAGATTTGAAAGTTGAAAATGTCTTATTGCATAATAAAGTATTTAAAATATGTGATTTCGGCTCAGCTAGTACTGAAAAAATTGACTTAAAGTATTTAATATAACCAAAAACTAGTTAATCAAACAAGCAACAGATTTCCCAATATGAGGAGAACTTTGCCAAATAGACAACTGAAATATATAGACCTCCAGAAATGACTGATTTATATTCAAAGTATGAAATCAATGAAAAGGTTGATATCTGGATGCTTGGATGCATTTTGTATACAATGTGCTTTTACAATCCACCCTTTCAGGAATCTTCTAAATTAGCCATTGTTGAAGCTTCCTATATTATCCCGAAAGATAATAAAGTATTCATACAAATTCAATGATTTAGTATTCCTAAAAGATGATCGATTTGATTGGCATAATGCTTTAACCAAATCCAAAGAACAGAGCATCAATCTTTGAGATAGAGGAAATACTGAAGAATTACGAGACATTAAAATAAATTGTAATAAATAGTATCAATAATAGCAAAGTAAGAATGAGCAAGAGGATGATTTTGGGGAATTCTAGTCAGGAGATTAAAAATCATAAGAGTAATAATAATAAAAGACTATGTAATATGATGATTCATTAATTTGATATTGTGTACATTTGATGTGTATTTCTAATAAACTATTTGAATTTCATTTATTTTTATTAAAATGAATTCCTTATTTACTATTCTTAAAGACATGCAAATAAATGTGCCCCAATCACAATTGCAACATTCTTTTGTTTTTTGTGGCCAAACTCAAAGTGGGAAATCTACAATCGTATGTTTTTTTGTTTCAATTTTTAGGTCTCCAAACTTACCTCTCAATCTATATAGGAATAGGCAGGTTTGATTTACACACAATAAAAGACCAACATTATTGGTTATTAAGCAGTGCTTCAATATTTTGAGGTCTCTGGATAGGCATTTAAGCAATTGCTGACTTTGCCATTGAATAAGCAATCATACTAATAATACAGTTATATCTTAGTGATCGACTTATCAGATAACCCCCATGAAATCCTAAATGTTTGCAATACAGAAATTAGATATATCAAGGAAGAAACAGAAAAGAAGTTATAGTAATCTATTGATGTTGACACTTTTAAACAATTGGAATTAAATATCTATGACAAGATCATGATGCATCACGACAAAAACAGAATAATTCCTTCATATGTTCCCATTATAATTGTAGGATGGAAATATGATTTGTTCTCTAAAAATTTAGACTAAGAATCTAGAAAGTGGATAACCCGAGGATTGAGATATTTAGCACATTCAAATAATTGTTCACTTGTGTTCGGAAGCAATCAAGATTATCAATTAGTCAAATAGACTTTGTAATACAATGTAAAACCATCAGCTCCAATTTATCAATTTGATCACTTAAAGTAATTATGCATCACTCAACTATCTGATTCAATTGAAAATATCAATCTACCTCCTTCTGGAAACAATCCTTTAGATGGGTTCAATAAAATCATCAAAGATCAAATAGTTGCTGTGGTAAATAATTAAAAAAAGAAAAAACAATCCAAAATATCAGAAGAGGATTGGGATAACTATAAAGAAGAAAAGATTGATAGGCTTATCAAGTAATTTGAATTTTAATAAAAATAAACAACAAAGCAAGAAGAAACAGTATTAATTTGATCCAATATATATATATAATATATTTATTTATGATTTTAGAATTAATTTTCCTATTAACAGGTGTTCAATCTATTATTCTCAAATTCAAAGTTCCACCTGGTTAATAATAGTGCATCAAAGACTCCGTGTCTTAAAACACACTCATATATGGAAATTATGACACTACATCCCTACATTACAGTTTTACATTGAGTGTATTCAAACCATACTATCTTATTTTAGATAATAAATTAATAGGATTAAGAGTCAATCATTATTCAGCATGCAAATGATATCAATCAATAATTTCATTATGTAATGGAAGAGTCAGGAGAAATTTCTATGTGCTTTGAAGTTGAGGATTATGCAGATGTTACAATTTTTAATCTGTTTTATGAAAGCGGTACTAAATTAGTATTCAAATATTTTATAGGTGCTGAAATCTATGACTAAGATTTATTGGCCAAAAAACAACATGTTCTTAATTTAAATGAGACATTAGAAACAATGGAATAATTGCAATAAGATATATCAAGAGAATAATTGTTGATTGTTGATAGAGAAAATAAAAGAAAACATAGCTTTACCGATATTTAAACTAAAATCATAGGGTTTGCAGGCATAACCTTTGGATTGTTAATTATAGTGGGTGCTTGTTAAGTTATATATGTCAGAAGATTTATAGTGTATAAAAAATTAGCTTGATTTAATTGAATATTATGTTGTTAATCAAGTTTATTTAATATAAAATAAGCAAATTTTAAAGCGAATAAAAAAAATATTCTCTAAATTAGAAATTTTTGGTTCTATAAGAAATCATTTAAAGAAGAAATCCTTATACATTAATCTAATATTTGTGATAAGAAATTAAGAGAACTTCTAAACCAAAACAATTTTAAATCTTTATCTTATTATCAGTAATATAATATGATATCAGATTTTTAATTGAATAATATATACATATATAAAAGTTCAGAATTGAGAAATCAATTTTGTTTTTTATTTTCTAATTATATAAAGAATTTTGGTCTGTTGTACAATTCAACATTAAATCCCTTGTTGATGAATTTTTATAGAACTTGCTAAAATCTTTAAACGTCTAATCTTTCAGAGTTATTCAGGTACTCTACTATAGAATTCAATAAATTACTTCTAGCTATCGAAGGCTTCATACCTTAGTTTAAGTAGGATTCTTATAAGAATTTCTCGAATCTTGATTAGTCTTTTATTTCATCATGCAAATACTGGCATCTTATACCATAAGGACAGAACCCTTGAGTAAAATATCTATTGCATGGCTTTGTTTTGTATTTCTGATGTAAATGAGTTTTAGCCTACAACTCGGAATAGCCATGGGCAAATGAGCACTAGAATTTATGTTTAAAAAGTACTTCGTTTCCAAATTTGCATTGTCCAGTCAATTAAAAGTTCTTACACAACTCGGTCTTCTTCTTTTTTGTGTATTCTTCAATATATAGTTTCTTTTCTTCGATAGTCTCAAAATACTTCTTTTTTGGTTAAACACTAAAAATATATTATAAAAAATTCTTACTCTATTTAGAATTATTCTTCATCGTCATCTGTGCTTACAAAGTCAATCCCATTTTATTAGTCAAAATAGGATTTATAATAGGTCTCAAGTTGAGTTAGATTATTCATTTTTTATAAATATTTATGAATTAATTTGTACTAATTGGCTTTAATAAAACTGAAGTGACAAATTTTCATTCGGAATCCTAATCTCCACTTAAATAAATAATAATTCTAATTTATGTATTCTTTAATAGAATTAAACATATTTAAATTGATTAGGCCTAAATAAATGTATTTTATTTATCATTTTATGTTCTTGTGCTTCAAATGCACACATTTTTTTTATAATTATAGAAATAAATATTTTTTAGTTACATGCTTATATTGATAATGCATTAAATACTTTGTAACCTTTTATATGATAATTTTATTGCCTTCATTTATTCTGGTTAGTAATTTTCTTTCTCAGATTTTGTCAGAATACTTAAAAATAGTTTTTTTAAAAAAATTATAGGTTCATAGCAGATTTTTAAATGAAAACATTTTTTAATAGAATTTTAAAGTATTATCACGTTAAAGAATCAACTACTACAAACTAGTGGATGATATTAAGACAATTTATTGAACCAAAATTGAGTCTATATCGATTAGTATTCTTATTATATAGTATTTGAATTTAAAAGTATTCATTCAATTACCAACCATTAAATATATACAAAAATTGTATACTAATATTCAGGAGATCTATTTAATTGATATTGATTCAAATAAACAACACTATAGTTTATCTATAAGTGTGAATATTTATTTTCTATATTTATAAATAATTAATATTGTTTAAATTTATGAATTTTCTTAATAAAACGCTGAAAACTGCCTCTTAATCTGAACCAGATTTATAATAATATTAAGACCTGATAAATGGTCATGAGGAACTATGCTAAAATCAAAGCGTTAATTTGCATGACAAAAAGAAGTCAGGTAAAAAGACAAAGGTTTAATATCAAATTTTCAATCTTTCTTTAACCAAAGCAACTTTTGCAAGTATTCAAACTATGTATCAATTTACTAAAAAGTATATCGTTTATTATATCAAAGAACTATAAAATAAATAAACTAAAATGAAAAAGTAACTATAAAGCAAAATTTTTAGGAGTCAATGAAGGAATATAATCACTAATTATATAAAATCTCAAAAAATCTACCAAGTATTCTTAATACATAGCATCTATAATTTCCATCAATTCGAATAAGTAGCTGGTATGAAAAAGTAAAACAAGCCTGCTTTAATAATAAAAATGAATAGAACTAGTAATTAATACTTCACAATCCAGGTTAGAGAGATGAAGACAATGATTTTATAATTATCTGATTTGCATCATACTATTCTCCTTTATTTCTGGCAATGTTCTTAAACTTTAATTTTAACAAGCTTTCTAGTTATTCTGATTTATAAATTAATTTAGAATTTACTAATCGCCTTTGTCATTTACAAATAAATAATTATTTTCAGTTATAGAGCTCATACTACTTTAAATTATTTTTATCAATTACTTATTGATAATTAAAATTTCAAATAATGATCTTTGAGTATTAGATAAGAATTAAATGTGATATTCATTTGTGAAATAGTGTGGAACGACATAAAAAATGATTATATGATTTTCAATTTTAATAATATAAATTCAATGAATAAATAATAAGACATTAATAGAAGATTGGCCCTATTTTATCATCCATTGTTTTTATAATTAATTGATTTATGGATGTCTTTGTTAGGGAATACTAAAATAGGATTCATTCCATTTATTGAGTTAAATATCAGATTGCAGAAAGCTCTGTTGTTTGAGTTTAATCTAAAAAATTCATGTACTATTTATTAGAAATTGAGTTATTTCTGCCTTGAATGATTGGCTAAGAGAAGTATAAGATTGCTATGATTTAAAAACATTATACATAATTGAACCAATAAACATTGAAGATGAAATAAAATAACTTCCATTTGAGCCAACACTAACTTCTCTAGATTACAATAATTTTATGATAGAGTTTTAAGACAACCCAGCTTAGTAGTATTTGAATGTTAAAATTAATTCAGAAATACTCGGTAAATTTTTCTTTGATTTATCCACATCTTGGTGTACTCATCTAGACATAGAACTCTTCCACATTTTTGGATTTACATTATTTTTTGCTGTGACAAAAGGAGACAAGATAAAATAGTCATAATTTATGCCATTATATGATATCTAAGCCTTACCAAGGTCTTTTTTCGAAGATTCAACTAATTTGAAAATTACATACTAAAAATTCAAGAAGAAAAATTTAATATATTATAGAGCATGGTGTGAATGGAATTATTTAAGAATGCCTGAAATAGGAGAGACTATGTTTGACAAATTAATTTCTTTATTTCCAGATGAGTAAGTTATATAATAATTTAAATAGTGCAAGAGTAGAAGATTTTTATGATTACTTTTCTAACATAATAGAAATTGTTAGTAAAGAGATCACATCGTCGCTTCAAAACTAAAATACAAAAGATAAAGATGTACCCAATAAAAATCACGAAAATCAGTAATCTTAGATTCAATAAGAGAATACTCAATAATAAGATTCTAAAGATGATGAATTTCAAAAATTGTCATTAGAATAAGATGAAGCAATGTTATGGTATGAGTAATAGAAAAAGGAATTGCCTGAAGAATTCAAGGGTATGAAAAATAATAGTATATATAGAACAAAAATCTGATGTTTTAGGAAGATGCTATTTATAATAGATTCAACCATTGCCACCAGACTTATTTGTGTTAAGATATAATGAGAGAGAAAAATGTTATGTTTTAGAAAGGAAAGTAAAGATTCCAATAATTGGTGTACAAAAACCCATCGTAAACACTACAGGAAATGACAGAATTCAATTATAAAAATAATATTTTAAATAGGATAAGGATACAAGCTTATTCTATACAAGTAATCCAGTCAATGATGTCACCGTAATAGCATAATAACAAAATCAACCAAAATAATAATAATTGCCTAAAGTTAAAAAATAGAACACTCAATTGGAGAGGGTGAATAAGTCATTTTCACAATATGATAAAATTAATACTCAAGAAAAAGGAAATATACTATTGCCACAATTTGCCTAAGAATAGTTGGTGTAAAAACAAGCAAATACTCCTGGAATCAGATTGTTTGAGTAATATTCTACAGAAATCAATGTCAAGAAAAGAGAAGTCAAATAGGATCTTCCATTGTAATTAATTAAGCATCCCAGATCAACTGTTACTGTTGATTTGAAGGAAGATTCTCATAAGGAATTGGGCAGAATTAATCTGACTCCCATTTAATCATTTAGATAAGCTTCATAATTACACAACACCAACTTGACCTTTAAATAGATTCAATCTATTTAAGATAGTAAGCATTTATGGTAGTCAATGATGACTTAAGAAGAAATGGAGGTTTTGCTATAAGATGAGAAGAAGTTTTATCATATGTTGCATCTTTTGAAGTTGAAGTTCAATTTTGAGCATAGGTCAGAATATTTGAAATAATTTAAATTAAAGCTAGATAATATTTCTAAAAGAGATGAAATGGGAGGAATATTAACAAATGAAGATAGAAAAAGATTCCATGAGAGAATAACTATAATTCTTGAAAGAGAGAAGAAAAGAAAGAAACGTAGAAGAAGAAATGTGATTGATCCATACAAACAAAGAAATAGGAGTTGGTCCATAAAGACTAAATTCAAGAACAGAAATTGCAGAGAGTAATTTAAATAGATTTTTATAACTCCTTTGATTTAATGATACATTTTTAAATTGTTATTTAATAATTAAGTAATCATTCTATTTATTAAACACACTTTAATTTTAATGAAATTATTGAATACAATGTTAAGTAATTGTGTAGAAACTTTCTTTTGAAATAATTTTGAACCTTCATTATTGCCTAGATTTGCTCATTCTTATTATATTTTTCTAGTTTTTATGATTCTACTTCTTCAATTAAAATTTGGTTTATAAAATTAATTAATCTGTCCTTATTTTTAAATATTTCAAAATTTGTAAAATATTAATAGATATCCATTTTTCTAATTATTTCTTCTTGGAAAGTGGACTCCATCTTTTTTTGTAACAATAAATAATTATCTCCATGTATTTATTACAATTCTTATTTCAAGTCCTCTTAAGTAAATTCTTGACTTGAATTCATATTCTTAATTTATTTAATCCAAAAAAATTAAGTTGCTACATGAAACGCATTAACATTTATTTGTCCTTTTGAAATCATATGCACTTCTCTGTAAAGTTCAGCGATTTAGCCAGAATTTAAAGAGTAGTTGGATGATACGAAATCGTAGAACTTTTTAAAACTAATCGGAGGATTTGGGAAGACTGTAAATAATTGTTTATATCTTTGATTTCTGTCAGCCCTGAATATTTCTAATAACAACTATAATACATATCCTGTTTGAACTAATATATTATTATTAACAACTATTGAGGCTTACTTTAATGATTTCAGAATCATGCTTTGGTTTTATTTATTTAGCTTACTCAAAAATAATGAAATGATTTTTTCTGCCTTTTCTATTTTTATATAATTAACTAATTCATATATTGCATCAAACTATTAAATCCACACTCCTTTAATCAAGAATCTTGTGTGAAGATAAAAGTATAATTCTTCCTTTGTGTATATTTCATTTAAGAAATGGCGAAATTAAACAATCTCCCAAACTTTATCAAAACTAGGTATCATCAATTAAATATAAAATCTATTGATATATTCTTAAGACAAGAGTTTGTTATCCTTTGGAATTATTTATATTTCATGTTTTTCCAAATAAAAGGTACTCAACCATGAGAAGACATAGGATTGAAAAGAGATGGAATAATCCTTTTGCATTTCCTGATACATGCCATCCATTATAGCTCTAAGAGTACCCATGAAATTCGAAGACATCTATTAACTCTCTATTTAATGAGACAATATGTCAAGAGTGGATTTATCTAAAAACTAAGAAAAATGCGGATAATTGAATCTCAATAAGGAGATATCGAATTGATCATCTTATCTAACTTGAGAATTCTTATTATTCTAATCCAATGAGGAAGATACGAGATATTTAAAAAAAGCCTATTCTGACTCTAATGGCTTTGCTATTTAAGCAATTTGAACTTCTTCATAATCCATCCTACTCTAAAATGGGGGTTCTATCTCTTTACTTCTTTTCACAGTTAAATGGTCTATTCTATTTTATAACACTTTTATTATATCTTCAAATAAGGTTATTTTATTAAGCTTCTATAAAATGGAATACTTATAGCTAATTAAATCCTCCTTTGACATGTAGAATAATTCAAAATATCTTTGTTTTTGTTCTTGAAGGTTTTGAACTTCAAATTAATAATTTTTTATTTACTCTTCCTACACTTAAACTTACATTTACAATTCTTTTATTATACTAATTTACATCTTATCCTGCCTTTTTGCAAAAATCAGTTGCTATTTCAATTCCATGACTATCTAATCATTTCCAGTTTATATCACTTACTATTCTTCAATTATTTAAGTTTGCTCTTATATCTGTTTTTTTATTAATGGCTTTATTACACTTTCTTTATCCTTTATTTCTTTTAAATTATTACTCAGAATCTCTACTGTTCTTTATAGCTATAAGTTTCTCAACACATATTAATTTTTGTCTTGTATTTTCAACTTATTTTATTTTATCTAATCCTTTTCCAATAATAGTTATGTATATTCTTTTAATTTTGTCTCCTTATCATCTTTATATTTGCTATATTAATCTTCAAGCTCCTATATTTTACATTGCAATTCATCAAAATATTTCAAACAACCTTGCATAATCTTAATAAATTAAGCAATTATCGTATCAACCCTAATATCATCAAACATTCCCAACAAAAAGAAATAATGTTAAACTTTCTCCTTAATGGATGGAAATCTCAGACTAATCTGATGAATCAATTGCTAATATCTAAGTTACTCAATTCTTACTTTTATTACTCATATTTATCATAACTCCCTTATCTAAAAGAATTATTAATAGGTTTTAACATTCGAGGGGTTTGAGCAAAACCTTTTTCAGAATCAAATAATTTTTTCATTTTAATAATACTCATATTTTATTTTAAGCTTAAGCATTATTAAACTTAAGTAATATGGATAATTTAATTAATTTCTAGGAACTCTCACAATGAGTTCTTGGAATAAATTTCGAAGAGTTTGAGATTGAATTCTAAAGACACTCATCACTCGATTTAGGTTTAGATTTATTTTTATAATAAATATGATTTATTTATAGATTTGATTCTTAGATTAACACATTAATCACATTATTTACTAAACTAAAAGTTAAAAATATATTACAAAGCTATCTGGAAATACATCTTTCTCTATATTTGCTTAATAGTTGATATATTTAAATAGATTTATCAAGCAATTAAGATTAACAGATAAATTTGAAATAATTTATGATATTTTTAATTCATTGATTATTTGTAATATATTAATTAAATAAAATTAAAAATGTCCAAGGGAGATGCTAAAACATTGAAAGAGGAGATTCAAAAACTATACGATCCATTGTTATTCTATTAACATGGTGATAATCCTGCTTATAAAAGATACGTTGAAATAATGTAAGAAAATGCTCAGGAGGGTAAGCAAATAGATCCAAGAACCTATTTTGTTAATAAATTGCAGAGGTAAATAGTTTGTTAACATTACAAAGAATACATGTAGCAAGAAACATTTAAGATTTTGTAGAGAGGGACTTAAAATGCTTTAACTTTGTTCGAATCTTCCCAGTTTGGATATGTACAACAGGATTCTTTTTATAAGGTAAACAAACTTATCCTAAATGTAAGCCGCATTAACTCATAGATAAATGTTTTTGCCTATTGGGTAGAGAGGTATAACCAGCATTAAATAGACATCATTCTTTTACAAGTATTAATCTAGTATTAAGTAATTCAAGTTTTGGGTATGTCGGATTAGCAGGTTATGGATTATATTTGTTTGGAGCATCTTACTTATGGTGGTAAGTCACTAAAATGACAGGCACCAAATTCTACAAGCACTGCTTATTGGGAGAAAGATAATGGTCGTATGAAAGGGAAAGATAAAATAACACTTACGGAAATTACTACTTTAAAGATGTTCCTTTATCATGCGAAGAAAATTTCCCAGATCTAGCTAGAGGAGAAATTGCTAAAAAGCAAAGACCTAAACCAGAATGGTGATATATTAATATTATACATTCATATATCAATATAATATAATTAACATATGATTTAATAAAACAATTTTTGTGTTGCTATTACTATAAGTATTCAGGATTGATTTAGAATCAACAGAAAAGACATAAGACAAAATTAAATATCATTTCATATCCATTTTATTAACCTCTTTAACTCAGCATTCGGAAATAAAGAATAATGCTATAACTAAGGAAAAGTAAAAATAATCTAACACTACATTTATTATTGATGAATAATCATGACTACAAAGTTTTTATAGAAACCTTCATAAGATAAAACAATGAATCTTTCTTTCTTTAAGTACTATTGAAAATGCTTTTCACTTGTAATAAACTAATTATCACTCTTTGGTTGAAGAACCAGTTGCTATGTATCAAGAAGGCGTTTAAGTTTATGTTGGATTGATAGATCTTATTAAATATTATTTTTTATGATAAAATTAAATTATATTGAATTTGCTGATAAAATTTTAGAGAAGAAAACCGATACATCCTTTTGTCTAATTCATATCCACAAATAATTAGTACATTTCTTTAGGGATTTCAAAATTTTTGCAGACAGAGGTGAAAAAATTAAAAGAGCTTGCAATAATAAATTATATAATAATAATACCAATAAGGGTTATAATAATTGAAGACAGTTAACCAGATTTAAAATATATATTTTTCGAAATCTCTCAGGTCAGCTTGATATGCATTATAATAAGCAAATTTATAATAAAAACAAAATAAATAACAAAATTAGTCATAATTAGAGAATTAGGATTTATCAATTAAACTAGATTATAAATTGGGTTAAAGAAATTAAAAATAAAAAGGGAATGACCTTAATTATAATTAATTATGTAAGCAAAGAATAAAATTAAAGTTTTAATTATATTAATTTCAGCATATGTATAAATTTATCAATTGTATATCATCTAATTTAATAATTTTTTCATTGATATACAGAAAGACTAAAGAATCTGAGCTTCAAGCTGTCAATTTAATTGAGTCATAAAATTTGAAATAAAATTGTCTAATATATCCAAATTAAATTGAATTTTAATAAAAAGAAATTGATATCATTATATAAAGAGATTTATTAAAGAAAATATTCGTAAAAATCTCCTAATTATCAAATAATACTGAAGTCCCAACCTTTTATCACCTTCATTAATCAAATAAATATTCCCAATTTTAACAATTGTTGATAATTTACAAAGAAATAATCAAATAAATTTAATCTGAGATATTTGCAGTGTTCATCAGAAGCAAAATAATAAGATTATATAACCATTATCACAAAACTATTGTCTACTTGTTTAAAAAATACAAGAGAAATAAATATTCTGATAATATATTATGTGTATATAAATTAAATTTTAGATAATTAAAATATGTTATAGCAGTGCCTCAAAATATTCAGGTTTAGCTTTGCTGCAAATACACCCTCATTAGCTACACCATGGTCATTGAAGCCATTCAAGACTGAGGTATCTGTACCAATAATCAGATTTCATGATGCATAGCCTTCCGGGTAATCAATTACTTTGGATTAAGGTATTAATTTATTTTATTTGAATTATAGAAATATTTAATCAGCCTATCAGAAGAGATTTGGTCTAAAGATTAGTGAGATATACTGATTTGTATGATAAAAAAGTCACTAAAGCAACTTTGGCATTGAGAGATGCTGCAGCATCAGGGGCAAAAAATCATCCGCAAAAAAAGACAGGAAGAGCACGTTAAGGACATAGACAAAGACCAGGAAGAAATAAAGGTATTAAAGCGCATGGAAGGAAAATAAGATCATTAAGAATTGATTTACCAAGGAAAGTTAGATTATAAGCTTACAAGGTTGGTTTGACAGCTGCACTTATTGAAGGTAAATTCACTGTCATAGACACTGAAAAATTAAATGAAGGAAAGACTAAGCATTTGGTTTAATTGATGAAGGGGTTTGAATCTTTTACTTAACCATTGTTAATTGTCACTAGTGTCGATCCAGATGACTTATTTTTAAGGGCCTCTCGCAATTTAGACTCTTTGGAGACATGCACTGTTAAAGAGTTCAACATTATTAAAATTCTTAAATTCAAATCAATTCTTATTACAAAAGAAGCTATTTTGCAATTGACAGAATCATTAAAATAAAGGAAATTAGCTCTTTTGGGAGATAACAAGATCATCAAGAAGGTATATAATTAATTAATCAAAAAATTAGAAATATTCAGAATATCCAATTGAAGAATATGACCCTACTAAACCTTTGGATCTCAAATTCAAAGTGTTAAGAGAGTATTTGGAAGACTTTGAAAAATTAAAACAAGAGGGATAATTAGATAAATTTATTTAAGATATGCCTAAGACTAAGAAGGTTGGACGTATTAATACAATAAATCATCATTGAGAAAATTATTTGTTTTTAAATAAAGCATTCATATAATTATAATGATCATTTCTCAAATGTATCTTTGTTATTAAGGGTTTTATTATATTTCATACTCTCTCTATAGAGATTTCATTTTTTATTTTAGATTTTAAGATGAAATTGCAGCTTAACTTAAAGTCTTTTTGAAATTTTCAGACTCTTGTTTTAATCTTTCCCATCCAGAAGACTAATCTAATTAACTGTTATCCTTGATTCCACTTTATTAGGATTATTACGAGACATAGGACGATTCATTTTTGTAATCTAAATTAATAAATTATATTTATACTTTAACTATATTTTTAAGGTTAATAGGCCTTTTCCAATTCTTATAAAAGCTATTCATTTTGATCTTTTAATTGTTGGATTTCTTATAATGTATTCATCTACATTTATCTTTCTTAAATGATAACTTGCTCCATCTCATTTACTCTCTTTTACTCCCAAGATAATTAAGCATCTTTTAAGTCGACTTATTTTTGTAGGTCTCTATTAGCATTATCAATGTATTATTTTTCCCTTTCTAACTAGGCAATTTGTCTATTAAAGTCTTCCTGGGCAGCTTAAAACCCTGTAGAAATCTTTCTTTATGAGTGATACTCTTTTCCTAATTGCTAAATAATAAAAAATTTATGATTACATCTCTTTCTTTAAGTAGTTCTCTAATTTATCTTTCATATTCTTCAGACTTTCTATTCAATCTTTCAATTTCACGCTCATATTATTGTAATTAGATTTAATATTGATCTTCTCTTTTTGATGCATTTTGCATTTAAACTTTAAAGAAGTCTTCTTATTTTTCTAATTCTACTCCTCGTTGTAACACATCCTCATGTTGCAATGATATCTATTAAATTGAAACTGTTAGTCTTTGATTTTCTGCACAAACTTCACTATAATTAAGCTACAAATCATGCATTTCCATATCAAACATTTTAATTTGTTCTTTAAGTCTAATTTCTTATTACTATAAAAATTGGATTTGCTATTATTATAATTCTTTCTCTTATACAGATTTGACAAGTTAATTATTTAAAGATTGGTTATCTTTACTTAATATTTAAATATCAGATTTCATCTCATGGAATTCTTTCTCTTTGATTTGTAGAGTGTATTTTAGATTATCATTTTCATTCTAGAGCTTTTAATTCTTATAAATTTAATCTCTTAATTTCTCCTCCAATTATTAGGCAGCTTCATAACCTCGTTCTCCTTTTGTGCTAACTTCTGATAATTTTGATTGCTATTTCGACATTTCAGCATTCATTTGCTTAATCTATTATTACAATGAGATGTTGGTTTCCCGAACTTCATCTAATTAATTTTAGACTTCATCTCTTTCAAGATCTAATTACTCTAAGGATCGTTTTAATATGACATTCTGTTCAGATAATTAATGAACTCTATCGTCTAAATTTTCGTTCAATTCCCTTAATTATAATACTTATCTTTCATCCTCTATCTTTGTGCTATTCTTTTATTATAATCTTTGTAATAATTCTTCTTTTTATTTTTCCAAACTTTCACACAATAATTTTAGTTATCGAATTTAGTTATCCTAGTCAGTTTTTTATAATTTAAGAGAAGATACTTAGGATTATGATTCAGTTAATTCATTATACAGTTTATTAGATCTTTGAACCTCCTTTTACAATTATTCATTAATATCTTATAAAGTCATTTCGTAATTATTTACTTTTTCTGACAATTTTATAGAAGTGTTTTTGATTTCATGATCATTTGTTTTCAATCCATTAATCATTTATCTTAATTCTCTTGCTTCTTTCATCGCTTCTTCTTTTAATTTATTTAAAAATTCCATTTATTTAGTTTATTGACTGATTACTGATTCTAATCTTATATTTTCACTCTAAAATCTCTCTTTTTCAATTAACATCTTTCTTTCTTAGTCTCTTAATCTTTCTATTTCATTTGTCAAATTATAGTAGTCCATCTCTTTATCCTTGTTTCTTAATAAGTTTTATTAGTATTTAAAGGTTTCATCACTTTATTATCGTAAATTCATTTGCAATTTATCATTCTCCAATCTTTATTCATTAAGCAATTCTTAAGCTATTTTAAGCTTCTCTTCTAATTGAGAGTTAAATATCCCTAAATCTGATATTTATAATTTTAGAGAATTATTCTATTATTAAAGTAATTTTAATTCTCCAACTGTATCATTTTCAATCTTTTACTTTTATTCTATTACACTTTATTAATTCAATCGCATCTTTGATTACTCTCTTTTGAATGATTCAACCTCTTATTCTAATGATGCTATATCCTATAGCTTTAATTTAATTTATGAATCCAAGTTAGCATTCTTCTGTGCTAATTCATTTATTTGATCATTCAATGCGCGTTTCTGTTATTTTAATTCATAATTATCTCTATCCTTCTCTCCTAATTCTTTTTTAATTGATTTTAGTAGATTTTCTGTTGTTTGCACTTCTTTAGTCAATAGATCATTTTCCTTTCTTAATTAATCTATTATAAGTTGTTGACCTTAGTTAGGATTTTATTAATGGGACTACTAATTTTTTTGTTCCTATTTAAATTTTTATAATAAACTATCTAAGTTTTATTTAGAAACATCCATTCTTTCAAATTCTATTTTCAATTCTCTGATTGTTTATTTTTCTTGATCCAATTCCCTTTCCAAATCTCTCTTATCTTGTCTTAATTATTATACAAATTCTTTCTCTCTTTCATACTCATCATTTAATTTCTTATAATTTCTATCATATAATTCCTTTTCTCTTTATAATTATTAATATTCTGACTTTTGAATTTATAGCTAATCATCCATATCATTTAACTAATATTTTAATTTTTCATTTTCTTCTTCTAAATTTTTTAAAGACTACACAGTATTTTCTTTATCATTCTTCAAATTATTTACAGCTTTACTGAATACCATCTTATCAGTTTAATATGCTTATACCACTTATTCAGCATTTTGAGCCTTAAATTATAGTTATTCATTTTATTGATATAATTACTAAACCTTCTCAACTAATTGTTAATTTTCCTATTCTAATTAATTTAATATTTTTTTGAATTATTCTTGATTCTTTTCCTTCTCTTCCTCAATGACAGATAATCTTTATTTGATCTAATTTAATTCATTTTTTTTATCTGATTTATTTGGACTTTATTATTATGGTTGACTAGGCTTTTTCCTAAAACGGGATAATTCTTTTCTTAAATTTGATAATTCATCATTTAACTTTGTATTTTCTTCAGTTAACAAATCTACTTGTGTTTATGTTCTTTAAGCCTTTTATTGTGTCTCTGAGAGAAGATGTTCTTATGCTAATTTCTCGATATTCGTGCCTTAAATATCTAATTTTGATTTTAATCTCAAAATCTCCTTTTCTCTATTTTCAATCTAAAATTCTAAATGCTTGCATTTTTCTTCCAATAATACTTTAGAATTGTCATTCTCTCTAGAATCCTATTGTACTTATATTAATCTAGAAATGATAATCATAATTAAGGTACTTCTTCTCTAGATCTTATATTTAGTCAATCAATTTTAATGTTTTATCTGGTTAATTACTTGAAGATAAATAATTTTCATTATTTTTTTTAAATAATTCTTCTTGTAATTTCTTTTCAGCATTATTTTTTTAACCTAATATAAATTTCCAATCATTTCTCTCACTTTCTAACATTCTTACTTGTGATCTCCATTTATTTTCTTTGGTATCACATTCTTCCTTAATTTGAATCATTGTCATGTGTAATTAATTATTTTCATTAACAATCCTTTAATTCTCCTTTTTCAAAGGTAACAATAATTGTTCAAACTTAGCTGCATTTATTTTAGTCTATTTCATATATCATCAATATACTTCTTCCAATTATTTTTTTAATTATTGAAAACCCTCAGTAGTTTTAACTAAATCATTTAGTAATCTCTCTACTAAAGGAACAGAGTCTATTCCTAAGGGTTAACAATAATGCAAGGCATCCAATCTCTTCTTTAGCAATAAAAACTTCCTCTCTTGATCCATATTTGAAAAAATTATATATATGTTAATTAATAAAAAAAAGAATTTTGAAATTATGAATTTTGTAAACAGTTAATAAATTATTTATTATTATTTACATATTTCTTTATTTAATATTAATATCTTTTAAGCTAACTTTCTTCTTACCCTTTGTATAAATAAATGCATTTATTGATAATAATCTGATAATTGATTAAAATACAATAATTGTTGCTCATTTTCCTTTCTGCTCCACTATTATTCTCATTCTTTATCATTTTTCAATTAGCTACCTATTTTTTAAATCTTTTTGAATTAATAAATTTCTAGTAACAAAATACATTATTAGAATATCATTATTATTGTGGATACTCCTATAATCTATTTAGTAGTTAAAGTTTATTTATTGTTTATTTCAAATTACAGGCTTAAGTTGTTTAATTTTATATTAAAAGTTGATTTATGCTGTATAGGATTATTGAAAAGGTCTATAAATAAATTCCATTGAAGTATCAACAGAGACTAAAAGATATAGAATTTGAAAACTTATAGAGCATGAGAGTATCAAATAATCATATATTAGATTGAATTTACTAATGGTCTAGTGCAAAAAACATACAATTACGAGATTTTGTCAAACAAAATACAATTAATCCAAGTATGATTAGTTTTATCTAGGCATCTACAGTAATCAAAGAATTAGTTAGAATTTTGCTCAAAATGGAAACTCTCCCTATTTTTCCTTTAATTTATTTTCTTTCTTTACAAGAATTATTCTGGTCTGAATTCTTTATTATATTATACACGATGATGTGTTTAATTATGGATATGGCTTTCTCATACTTAATACTATTTTCCAATTTAAAATAAAGATGGAAATTTGAAGAGAATATCAATAAACAGTAATGTCGAGTCTTAGCAGATATAGATTAATTGTTGTAAACTTAAAATAAAACTCCTTCAAAGAAAATCGAATGGTAGCAATTAAAATTAGGTCAAATCGTTTGTCTTTAGAAGGGAGAAAAGAGTCCAGCAGATGTCTTAATTTTAGAATCAAGTTAGGAATAAGTATTAGTGGATTTTAAGTATAAATATCCTTGCCCTTGCACTTTTGTTAATTAAGCTTCTAAAACAAAAGGAATCATGACTAAATTCTTAATAAATTTGAGTGGATGGATCTAATTTTAAAGCTCTAAACAAGGAACTATTAAATTGAAAAACGATCCAAAGACCACTTAATTTACAGATGTAAATATTATTAACAGAGGCCAAATATTGAATCAAACAGATTGGATATTTGGGATAGCCATATAGGTTGGACACGGATGCTTTTAATAAAGAGATCGATATTATAATTGGAACCATTATAATTAGAATAGTTTTTATATATTTTTGATAGATGTTATAATTTTCTTTGTCCTTTTAATACCAAAGCTAATTAGTTAACAATAGTATGAATTCCCAACTTATCAAAATTCTATTATAATGTGTCTGTTACTTTTACCTTAAAATTACTTTATCATCAATTAAATATGGTTACTTATTCACTAATTCAATCTAAACAAATTAGAGATTAGATAATCTTCTGACACAAATTCCAATTTAACCTAATAATAGCAATAATAACTTTAAGAGTAACCTGATCCAATCCTGTAAGAATATGATAAGAAAGTGCTTATTTAAGTGTAAAAAGTAGGATCAACAAACAATTCAGTATTGAATCTTGGTTTAAAAAAGAAAAATCCAACTTAATGCAATATATATCAATATAATCAATTATCTAATTAAAACATTTTAGAATTGATGAAAACAGATGTATTAGTATTTGAGAATCCTTAAAAAATATTAAAAGATAATGTTAGAGTTTGCTTAATCATACATGACAAATGTAGATATTACTTTAATTATGAAAAATTATAATCCATTATTGAAAAAACTACTCCAACTCAAAAAATTAATTATGAAAAATTACTATTAGATACAAATAGGTTTTAAGCTTATGATGAATAAAAAACATAAGACATTGATTTATTACTTGCTGAAAAGTAATAGCCAACCTTAAGGATTGTCGAAGAAAAAAAAACATTCCAAAAAATAGGGTTTTTGAAAGAATAAACAAAGGTAAGTTAATTTCAAAAAGATATGAGAGATTCTAAAGACCTAAAAAAGTAACCTGGAGACCCTTAAAAATTGAATACATATAGTTCTTTTAGAAAATAAACTGCAAGGAACTTATTTCAATCTAATACTTAAGTCTAACAAATAAAAGAGTCTAATTAACAATCGACATTAATACAACAATAATAATCTAACATAATAATTTCATATAAGAATTCGCCGAAATTGTAAAGATAAAGAAGTAGTAATCATCTTTCCTAAAGTCAATTGAATCCAAATGTCAGATCTTAGGGAGGATCATTAAAAAACATTACTCCGACTTAATAAGATTTGAGTAATGATTAAATCATAGGAGATGTATTTAATGAATAAGATTTTATTAATAAATTATTGAATAAGTCTGATGTAATATCGAATGAAATTTTAATTGTTTTACTGCTTTGTAATAATATTGAGAGTGTTTATGATAAGAAAGAAAAGAAGATTTAAAATATATATTATAATTCATTTGATGAATCAATTTTAGAATTTGTGAAGATATTTGATTATAAATTTATTTCAAGTGCTACAATTGATAATTTTCAAGTAGAATATAAATAAGATCAAAATAGTCCAAAAGGCTGTCTCTATTTTAAGGAGTTATTAAGATTTTTGATATTATAGCCTTTTTGTTGCCAACCCCAAAATCGATAAAATACTCTCTCTATACCTGGTTAAGAATCTGAAACCTTTGTATTATAAGGAAGGAGCTTTTTTATTCCCCAGAACAGAAATATGGTGACACGAATTATATGGCCAAAGATTCCCCTTAATTAATGAAAAAAAGGGGGAAAAGGTTTTGGGGGGGGGTTAAAGCTCAATAAAATCTTAAAAAAAAAATTGGATTTCTAGTAAAACTCAAAGTTTTTTAATAAATTAAAATTCCCCTCCCCCAAGACCTAGGGTGAA